GCCCTTTTGTGTCTCCTCCACACTGGCTATCTGTGGTGCAGAGTTAACACTGGCTCTGACATCTAGAGGTTCACAACTCAATCACTGCAGACTTGATCATCTTCACGGTCACACAACGTCTAACAACGGTTAACACCAGCGGCACATTTCACGAGTTTATTTACACGTTAGCTCAATACACAAATCACAGGTGAATCCACTTACAGCATTCGGACAATAGACGTTGACATATTCACAGCTGGCTTTGACAATCAAACAGGGTACCATTCACAGCTGGCCTTCTCGATCATTCATTCCTCGCCGATTCAAATCCACATGCTCTAGTCATTCTCCATTCATCTTCACAGCTTCATTTTCCATCCTTTCTCTCTGGGGCCCAGTCACCGAATGCCCGCCTGATTCTCAATCCCCCAGATCTCCTCATTCACACGTGACACACTCTTTCCTGTCGTTTCACCATATCTCCGTGAAACACATGCTCTCAGGGACTTCCCCAGTTATGCCAATCATCCCCTGACATTATCCCTATTTATAACATCATTACACCGGGAAACCCAGTCTTACCACCCTCTAAGATATTGGACTGTCCTGTGACGTCATCTGGGGTCGGATATAAATAAAGCACCGACTTCTGGTGCTAACTGCATATTTTTTTCAGCATTTGATGGCGGGTGTGAATAATACCATGCAGGCCATCTACACTTCCCAGGATAGGGTTCTCTGTGGCAAAGTGGTCAAGCCATTTGCCTCACTATCTGAAGGTCATGGGTTCGTTTCACAGCTGTGTTGTAGGGCTCACTAGTGCAATTTTTATGGGGTTCTCTGGGATCGTTTTCAGTGCTACAGGGTTCATGCTTTGTGCAGCGCTCTCGGCAGGTGGCGAGACGTTATGTGGAGAGAGGCCAGGATGTATGTGATAAAACCTGGTGCATTAAATCCTCCCGACTTTAACTCTTGCAAGCTAAAGATTTTTGGTATTATACTGACCTAATTAATACTGACCTAATTACCCTTCATGTTTCGTTTCTCTTATAGTGCTCTCATTGCTTATTTTGTTTCCTGTCTCAGAATAATGCCCAGCTTTAGTTATTATATATTGCTATATTATTATTTCAGTGTAAATAATTGTATTCAGACATTTGTGCTGCAGTCTTAATTTCATAGACATCTGTTTTGGCCTTGTGTGCAGGAAGAGCAGCACCGCCTGGCCACCGAAGTGTACCAACAGTACATTGCCAGCAGCTCCTCCCAAGTTAGGTTTGACAAGTCTCTGCTAAAGGGAATGGAGGAATTTCTCCGAGGGGATAAGGTTTGTTTTTTCTTTCATTCCTGAAGATTAATTGTTTTAGAGAAATTATTGTTTCTGTTTTATCTGTTCCAGATTTTAAGGTGGATGAAAGGATTATCCCTTTGAATCTCACCAGCACACTCTGTGTGTGACTGGATTTGTGTGACTCATATGCACCAGTTAACATATTATTATGCTGGGACATTTCATTTGTTTACTCGGTGCATGCTAAAAGACTCCACAACAAATGTGTCTCCCCCAGGATATTTGCATTTGAACCTTATACAAGTTTTAAAAAATAAAAATACAAAAACTGTTCCACACCTTCAGGTGTATTGGGCATATAGGGCAAGACCTATACTTTAAAGACCAATCAGCACTTGGTAGGTGATGTGGTCAACGTCACACTGATTGTCTTTACTCCCTAAAAAGCTTACCTGGTTCCTAAGGCTGGGTCAACCTGGGGCCAATGTCATTTTAAAAAAAGTATGGCTCCATCAGGACCTTAGCTGATGACCTTTGGATCCACAGTCAAGCATCTAGCCGCTACACCACAGCAGCTTCCATTTAGGCCCTGTGGGTGTAGTATACCAATGGTTTTGTTGATTTTATAGTGGGCTCACTGGGCATCAACTATGACCCTCTGGAATGGGCAGGGTCCAGCCAATTATCTCCTGTGCAGGAGATTGTAGTATCCATTTGATGAAGGCGTTTTGGCCAGAACGTTCATATTATGATTTGTGATTGTGGTACTGTGAAGCTGACTAGTTATTCTTCTCGATTTGATGGACATTGTTCTCTTATTGAACCTGTCCGCAGGGACCCGAGGCTTTCATGCTTGCGCAGAAGCAGGTGCAGCAGCTTCTGGAGGACCAGTACTACCCATCATTCATTGTCAGCGACACCTACTTCCTGTTAGCCTCTAGCACACAAGGTGGGGTCACTTCTGATGAGGAGAACACCATGTCAGGTAGGTCATTCTGGGGTCACTTCTGATGAGGGGAACACCATGGCAGGTAGGACATTCTGGGGTTACTTCTGATGAGGAGAACACCATGTCAGGTAGGTCATTCTGGGGTCACTTCTGATGAGGAGAACACCATGTCAGGTAGGTCATTCTGGGGTCACTTCTGATGAGGAGAACACCATGTCAGGTAGGTCATTCTGGGGTCACTTCTGATGAGGAGAACACCATGTCAGGTAGGTCATTCTGGGGTCACTTCTGATGAGGGGAACACCATGTCAGGTAGGTCATTCTGGGGTAAGGGGTCATTTTTTATGAGGAAAACACCATTTCGGATAGGACATTCTGGGGTCATGGGTCACCTCTGATGATGAAAACACCATGTCGTAAGGACATTCTGGGGGTCAGAGGTCACTTCTGGTGAGGTGAACATCATGACAGGTAGGACATTCTGGGGTAACTTCTAATGAGGGGAACACCATGTCTGACAGGATATTCTGTGATCAGGGGTAACTTCTGATGAGGAGAGCACCATGTTTGATAGGATATTCTGTGATCAGGGGTAACTTCTGAAGAGGGGAACACCATGTCTGACAAGATATTCTGTGATCAGGGGTAACTTCTAATGAGGGGAGCACCGTGTCTGATAGGATATTCTGTGATCAGGGGTAACTTCTGATGAGGGGAACACCATGTTTGATAGGATATTCTGTGATCAGGGGTAATTTCTAATGAGGGGAACACCATGTCTGACAGGATATTCTGTGATCAGGGGTAACTTCTGATGAGGGGAACACCATGTTTGATAGGATATTCTGTGATCAGGGGTAACTTCTAATGAGGGGAACACCATGTTTGATAGGATATTCTGTGATCAGGGGTAACTTCTGATGAGGGGAACACCATGTCTGACAGGATATTCTGTGATCAAAGGTAACTTCTGATGAGGAGAACACCATGTCTGATAGGATATTCTGTGATCAGGGGTAACTTCTGAAGAGGGGAACACCATGTCTGACAGGATATTCTGTGATCAGGGGTAACTTCTAATGAGGGGAGCACCGTGTCTGATAGGATATTCTGTGATCAGGGGTAACTTCTGATGAGGGGAACACCATGTTTGATAGGATATTCTGTGATCAGGGGTAATTTCTAATGAGGGGAACACCATGTCTGACAGGATATTCTGTGATCAGGGGTAACTTCTGATGAGGGGAACACCATGTTTGATAGGATATTCTGTGATCAGGGGTAACTTCTAATGAGTGGAACACCATGTTTGATAGGATATTCTGTGATCAGGGGTAACTTCTGATGAGGGGAACACCATGTCTGACAGGATATTCTGTGATCAAAGGTAACTTCTGATGAGGAGAACACCATGTCTGATAGGATATTCTGTGATCAGGGGTAACTTCTGAAGAGGGGAACACCATGTCTGACAGGATATTCAGTGATCAGGGGTAACTTCTAATGAGGGGAACACCATGTTTGATAGGATATTCTGTGATCAGGGGTAACTTCTAATGAGGGGAACACCATGTCTGATAGGATATTCTGTGATCAGGGGTAATTTCTGATGAGGGGAACACCATGTCTGATAGGATATTCTGTGATCAGGGGTAATTTCTGATGAGGGGAACACCATGTCTGACAGGATATTCAGTGATCAGGGGTAACTTCTGATCAGGAGAGCACCATGTTTGGTTGTACATTCTGGGGTCAAGTGTGACTTTTGATGTAATAAGTTCAATGAGAGTCAGTTAGATTAGTTCAGGGAAAGTTAAAAAAAATTAGTTTGGAGAAAGTTAATAAAATTAGTTCTGTGAAAGGTAATGAAATTAGTTTGTTGAAAGCTAATGAGCTATGCAAATATTTTTAGATGAGTTGTTCCTGGAGTCTGCCGATATATTTGATGAGGGCGAGGAAAGTTTGATCGCAGGACAATCCTATCGTGCGCAGCAGCTGCTGCGGGCTCTGGACAGCAAGATCACAAACAAAGCCAGGGCACTTCGGGCCCAGAGATCTTCACAGAAGGTTGATGGAGGCTCAAAGGTTAGTGTCTGTATCATGCTGCAGGTCATAAGGTTAAATACTCGCTGCATATTAACTAATTTATGTCTGGTTATCCATTGCCTCGAGGCTCAGAGAAAAGGCAATACGGACATTTAATCAGAATGCTACAGGCACCATTAGTATTGGAACTCTTTGCAGGCTGCTGAAGATAGTAACGGAGTGCTTATGGGAATGTCCCGAGTGATGTAATTTCAGTTCTTGAATCAAATCAAATCAAGTCAAATCCGTTGCCTGTTCTTGGTGATGGTATCATTAGTTTGGCATTTGATTCATTTGAAACATTTAGAGTCATTAGTTTTTTATGAGCCTCATGTATAATCATTAGTTAAATCTACCTCATGTTTACAGAAGAGTCCTCAGTTGTAAATGTGCATCATTTATAGAGTTTAGCTGAATTAAGAACTGACGTCACAGCACTCGAGACATTTGTTGTAAGTGCTACCTCTTCTTTCGGAAAATTTTATTGATACGGCAATGCCTGTTCATTTCCCAGCACACATACATGATCTGGAGAAAATTTCCAAAGGACACTAACAACCTGGGATGTTTGAAGCGATGCTTTCCATTCTGCACGGATCATACCTCTCACCACCTTTCTTAACATTCTTTGTGAGTCATTTACAATTATGACATTTGTCAGCTGGTCCTCAAATCACCAGAAGGCTACAGTGACTGCCTCCACCTCCATTCTCACACTAGACTTAGAGTCAGCAGGTTTACATCTGCCTCATCAATAACCTATTCATTAACATCTGTCTCATTAGACAACGAGGGGTAGCAAGAGAAGCAACCACATAATTGTGCCGTTTTGTGATATGTTATAAACTTGATTGTGTGGGTCATGATGCCTCTTATTATGCTTGCTCCTTCTAGCTTCTGAATCTGGCAACACCTCCTCTGTGTTGTTTATATCTGTGCTGTTCTGCCAGGTCATCGAGAATGATCGCCAGGATTTTAAACTGTTATTATGGAAGAAGTATTTAATGGATATAAACCTGTGGCTAACATGTTCAGAAAAGTTTAAAGTTGCATGTAACCTTAAGAGTTAAAATGTTCAGAAATGTTGAGTGTTGCATGTGACCTTGAGACTTAACATGTTGAGAAATGTTTAAAGTTGTGTGTGACCTTGGAGCTTACAATGTTCAGAAATGTTTTAAGCTGTGTGTGACCTTGAGACTTGAAATGTTCAGAAATGTTTAAAGCTGCGTGTGACCTTGAGACTTAAAATGTTGAGCAATGTTTAAAGTTGCAAGTAACATTGGAGCTCAAACTGCTGCTGAGCAGATAAGGAACTTCCAGCACCTTGAAGAAAGGGTTGCTGCTGCATGCAACTGCAACTCTAGACACGATTCAGAAGTCATGGCAAAAGATTGAATACCGTCTAGACAACACCAGAGCTACAAATGACACCCAAGACAAAGTTTACTAGTCTAAGTCTAAAACTAAATAATGTTAAAATGCCGCAAATGTATACCCATGAGATGCTTCTTTTATAATAACAGTTTAAAATCCTGGCAATCGTTAAATTCCTGGCAGTTATTGAAATCCTGGCAGTCATTCTCCTTTACCATTTATTGTTTCTGCAGCTGAAGAAGGTGCAGGAGGACATGGAGCAAGAGTTAGAGAACCTAAAGCAGGAGAGACATTTGCTGGAGATGCACATTGCTCGAACACAGAAGTGGATCGATAACATCGGCCAGTGGAATGCTCAAATATATGATGCTTCTGTGAGTCACACCTGTATTTACATTGTTACTACATATTACAGAACTAATACTGAACTTTATAAGTAGACAACAAATCAAATGGTTTAGCTGTAATAAGATTGACATCAGACAGGGCACCACAGAGAGCAGTATTATACAGATACAGTGGTATCAGAGCCAGAAATCGACCATGCAGAAGATGGATTGCAGAAATATCAGAGACACGAACAAGTACTTTATAGGAAGCAAACAGAAGGGCCTGTTCCACTGATCCCTTCCTGCTCTGATGTCACGAGGTATTCATAGAGGAGAGAACAGAAGGGCCTGTACCAGTGATCCCTTCCTGCTCTGATGTCACGAGGTATTCATGGAGGTGAGAACAGAAGGGCTTGTTCCAGTGATCCCTTCCTGCTCTGATGTCACGAGGTATTCATGGAGGAGAGAACAGAAGGGCCTGTTCCAGTGATCCCTTCCTGCTCTGATGTCACGAGGTATTCATGGAGGAGAGAACAGAAGGGCCTGTTCCAGTGATCCCTTCCTGCTCTGATGTCATTAGGTATTCATGGAGGAGAGAACAGAAGGGCCTGTTCCAGTGATCCCTTCCTGCTCTGATGTCACGAGGTATTCATAGAGGAGAGAACAGAAGGGCCTGTACCAGTGATCCCTTCCTGCTCTGATGTCACGAGGTATTCATGGAGGTGAGAACAGAAGGGCTTGTTCCAGTGATCCCTTCCTGCTCTGATGTCACGAGGTATTCATGGAGGAGAGAACAGAAGGGCCTGTTCCAGTAATCCCTTCCTGCTCTAATGTCACAAAACATTCCAGGAGTAGAGAACAGAAGGAGAATAACTACATTTCTAGAGGTTTGATATAGTGGCTGAAGGGACTGGTAAGATTAACAAGTAAACTTTTGTGTGGACCATCAGGGTATATTTGGTCTTGAGGCTTGTTGTTTTTGTTTTGTGTTGGTTCAGTATTTGTATTGAAACTGATCATATCCGATAAAACCCAGTGCAGTAAATTTGGTTCTCGACCTGCAGGTCCCAACTGTTTTGGGTGTTGAGCGACTCTTCCACAGGGGTCACCTAAGACCATCAGAAAACATATATTCACTGAATCTATGAAGTAGCATCGAAAATAATTTGATGGTTGCGGGTCAACACAACATGAGGAACTGTATTAAAGGGTCGCGGCATTATAAAGGTAGAGAACCACTTGTCTAAACTTTAACTTTTAACTTGTTTTCATTGTGCAGTCTGCATTATGATAACCCTAAGGATTTATGTCATTCTGTCTGGATGATCAGATCAAGACTGAAGATGACCGCAAGATCCCCCAGTTTGTGGTGTTGGTGTCTCTCTGCTCCGAGGACCAAACTATCCCTGCCCAGGTCAGCAGTTCTAGTGAAGGATGGGCCATCTCCAGGACTCTGGAAGACTTCCATGTCTTGCATGAGAAGTTGGCCCCTGTAAGTTTATTGATTTTTCTTCTACATAATCCTTCTAGTTTTCTGTTCTTGTTGCCAGGTGGTGAGTGTCACATGTCGTCATGTCGTTCCCTTTCCAAAACAATCCTCCAGATCGAACAAATAAAAGACCTAAAAAACTTTAGTTTTAAAGGGTCACAAATTGGGCACACAAGTACATCTTATATTCAGCCCTTTCAAACACTCAGCTTCCACACAATGATTGTATTTTATCTATAAAGCATACCATATTCATAGCAGTATACATAACCTGAATATAAATTAAAAGCAAAACATGGAACTTTTGAGGGCATAAGAATAAAAGGAAGAAAAAGACCAGTTCTGCACTGAATGGTCTAGCCATGGCATTCCTTCATTGTGAAAATATATAGATATATATAAATCTTGAGACTAGTGGACAAGGGAGGCAACTGAGACTTGATGTTGATTTCATGGTGTCAGTCAGGTCTATGGCTGGAGTTAAATGTCATCAGATCCTATCAGAAAAGTAGTAGTTATTCTCTATATGAGCATATTCCAGACACATGCTAGAAGAAACTTATCTCCGGACAAGAAACTTTTGCTTGAAGGAGAAATACAGGGTGTTTGTAAAGTCTTACCACATTTTTGTATGTTAAACAAATCTTTAAAAAAAAAAGAAAAACAGAAAGAAGCATGCCATAGATACATATGCCCCACAGTCAATTATGTAACAGTATGAGGTGAATGGCTGTTGTCTGCTGGAGTTATTCTTTCCACTCAAAACAAAATGGTGTTATCAACAGAAGACATAATTTAAAAAAAAATATTTTTGATTGAACATGCTTGACATTTTCACACATCACATAATATCATCTGGAATTGAATTCAGCCAGCTTGTTTTCCAGATCTAACTCCATTATATTGTTATCAAAATAATTTGCACATAGTTGAGAACCTGAAAGAAGCAGTCAAAATTACCATTCATGAAATAACAACAGACATGTTGCAGAAAGTATTCATCAGTATTTACAGATGTGTACAGTCACATCTTGTAGCCTGCTGTGGACATTTCCAGCACCTATTATAGTGAATATTTCATTGGTACTTTCCAGCACCTATTATAGTGAATATTTCATTGGTACTTTCCAGCACCTATTATAGTGAATATTTCATTGGTACTTTCCAGCACCTGTTATAGTGAATATTTCATTGGTACTTTCCAGCACCTATTATAGTGAATATTTCATTGGTACTTTCCAGCACCTATTATAGTGAATATTTCATTGGTACTTTCCAGCACCTATTATAGTGAATATTTCATTGGTACATTCCAGCTTACCCAAAATAGCATTGGATTTCAGCAGTGATTATTGTAACTAATTTAATTACTTTTCAGCACAAATTTTTGATAATTTTTATTTACTTTGTTGTTTAGATTTGTTGTGCATACAAAGTGTAGTGAGGCTTTACAAACACCCTGTACAATAATGGAAGTTTGTTTTCATGGTCACATCCATGCTATTGCTGATGTGTGCCAGGAGTTTTGTACAGCCTGTTTGCTCAGAAGAAAGAGTTGCCTTTCTATTTTCCAGATCAGCAAGTGGGCACAGAAAAAAGAATTGCCAACATGTAGCAAATTGTTCAAGTCTGTGGACAGTGCATTCATGCAGAAGGCCTGGGCTGTACTCAATGAATACCTTGCAGTAAGTTTGCTTGTGTGTGCACCAGTGCATCTGTCCATCATTCATGCCCTTCTGTGTATGTAATGTGAAAAAATAAACGAAACAATGAATGTGTGCATGCATGTATATTTCTGTTTTTTTAATAAGGTGAATAGACAGAAGCAGGTAACTTACTGTATGAGGTTTCTTCAGCAACACACAATTCTTTTAAATTCAGTTATATTTCTCCTCTTTCTCCCGTGTGTGTGGGCATGTGGGTGTGTTTGTGTGTGTGTCTGTCTGTCTCTGTCTGTCTCTCTCTCTCTCTCTCTTTGTCTCTCTCTCTTTCTCTCTCTCTCTCTCTCTCTCTCTCTCTCTCTCTCTCTCTCTCTCTCTCTCTCTCTTTCTCTCTCTCTCTCTGTCGAGGGAAAGCACAAATATCAAAGCCATGTTGTAAACTGGCACAACATATTTGCATCTTTAGATGAGCACAGAAGAAGAGGGCTAACACAGAATACTGCTTATTTATTAAATACATTCTTTTTTATCTAGGGACAGAAACACTGCCAGATACAAGTGACTCTGTGTTTTATCTAGGGACAGAAACACTGCCAGATACAAGTGACTCTGTGTTTTATCTAGGGACAGAAACACTGCCAGATACAAGTGACTCTGTGTTTGCTGTGACATGCAAGTCACTTCTAGTGGCTCACAGTTTATAAGGAGTTGAATAAATTATGAAATGTGAATGTTACAGATGGTGATGAAGGATGAGAAGATGGTTCGCAGTTTATAAGGAGTTGAATAAATTATGAAATGTAAATGTTACAGATGGTGAAGGATGAGAAGATGGTTCGCAGTTTATAAGGAGTTGAATAAATTATGAAATGTGAATGTTACAGATGGTGATGAAGGATGAGAAGATGGTTCGCAGTTTATAAGGAGTTGAATAAATTATGAAATGTGAATGTTACAGATGGTGATGAAGGATGAGAAGATGGTTCACAGTGAGGCACTCTATGCCTTTCTCTCCCCAACTCCTGAGTTTGTTTACCAAGCGTATACTGCAGAGAAGAAGAAGTTTTCGTTGGCTGCCGTCATTAGGAGGTTTGACTTACCTATCTTTATTCTAAGGGAGATTTTCTCTTATCTTGATGATTATTGTCATTTTTACCTGTTTCACTTTTATCTTTGTCACTTTGTGAATTTCACTATTATTGTTCTCACTCACCTTTGTAAAAGTCACTATTTATCTTTTCACTTGTACACATGTCACTGTTATCATTGCCACTCACTTTAGTAAATGTCACTATTATCTTTGTCACCCTAATAACTATCACTTTTATCTTTGTCACTTTTGTAAATGCCACTCTTATCTTTGTCACTTTTGTAACTAAGTAAAAAAAAATTGTTACTATTATCTTTCTCACTTTTATTAATATCACTTTTGCCTTTGTCACTTTTGTATTTGCCACTTTTATCCTTGTCTCTTTTTATCTTTGTCACTTTAATGAATGTCACTATTATCGTGGTCATGCACTTTTGTAAATGTCACTGTTGTCTTTGTCATTGTTGTCTTTGTCACTTTTGTAAATGTCACTGATATTTTTGTCACTTATTGTCATTTTTTATTGTTGCCTATGTTATCACTGAGGATATCAGTGGTATTTGTTATTGGAGTTTTGCTTCCACATCCATTTGATAGGTCTGGCTCATTTGTGCAGACTGTTGGTTCCTGGTCACTCAGGCAGCTGCACTCGGACTTTGAAGGGAACACCCCTGATTAGTTGACCCTTATGACATGCTTGTTAGGGGGAGCACCGGGTCTATATCCCCCCCCCCCCCCCCCCCCCCCCCCACCGTGGGACCCGGAACCCACACAAGGAATGGTCATTAATCGTCAGCTGATCACTTTTATCTCTGAAAAGATAACTGATCTCCTGCAGTTAGGAGATGTAACTTTTAGTGCAGTTGTGTAGTATTCTTTTTCTCTCAACTGAACTGCTTTCCTATGGGATCAGTTGCTATTGTTGTCTGTAGTTTTGTATTCTTGCTGCTTTGTTCTATGATAAACATTTTGACTAATGCACTTGCGTGTTTTCTGTTTGTCATTTTATCAAGCCTTTCATATATATTTTGTTCATTTAAAAAAATGTGTTAAAAAAGGAATGGAATAAGTTTATACGCTTATAGATCCTGCCGGTTTGTCTCACAATAGTTAGCAAGTGTTTTGTCAACTGGCATGTCTATTCAGGGCTTCTTGCCATCCTCAACATGTTTCCGTCCAAGTGATGACGTTCCTTGCTATCTCCATCATGTTTCCATCCATGTGATGACATTCCTTGCTATCTCCATCATGTTTCCATCTATGTGATGTCGTTCCTTGCCATCTCTAACATGTTTCCATCCATGTGATGTCATTCCTTGCCATCTCCAACATGTTTCCATCCATGTGATGATGTTCGTTGCCATCTCCAACATGTTTCCATCTATGTGATGATGATCCTTGCCATCTCTAACATGTTTCCATCTATGTGATGACGTTCCTTGCCATCTCTAACATGTTTCCATCCATGTGATGATGTTCCTTGCCATCTCCAACATGTTTCCATCCATGTGATGACGTTCCTTGCCATCTCCAACATGTTTCCATCCATGTGATGATGTTCCTTGCCATCTCCAACATGTTTCCATCCATGTGATGACGTTCCTTGCCATCTCCAACATGTTTCCATCCATGTGATGATGTTCCTTGCCATCTCTAACATGTTTCCATCCATGTGATGATGTTCCTTGCCATCTCTAACATGTTTCCATCCATGTGATGATGTTCCTTGCCATCTCCAACATGTTTCCATCTATGTGATGATGTTCTTTGCCATCTCCAACATGTTTCCATCTATGTGATGATGTTCTTTGCCATCTCCAACATGTTTCCATCTATGTGATGATGTTCTTTGCCATCTCCAACATGTTTCCATCTATGTGATGATGTTCTTTGCCATCTCCAACATGTTTCCATCTATGTGATGATGATCCTTGCCATCTCTAACATGTTTCCATCCATGTGATGTCATTCCTTGCCATCTCTAACATGTTTCCATCCATGTGATGTCATTCCTTGCCATCTCTAACATGTTTCCATCCATGTGATGATGTTCTTTGCCATCTCCAACATGTTTCCATCCATGTGATGTCGTTCCTTGCCATCTCTAACATGTTTCCATCCATATGATGATGTTCCTTGCCATCTCCAACATGTTTCCATCTATGTGATGTCATTCCTTGCCATCTCTAACATGTTTCCATCCATATGATGATGTTCCTTGCCATCTCTAACATGTTTCCATCCATGTGATGACGTTCCTTGCCATCTCCAACATGTTTCCATCTATGTGATGTCGTTCCTTGCCATCTCTAACATGTTTCCATCCATGTGATGTCATTCCTTGCCATCTACAACATGTTTCCATCCATGTGATGACGTTCCTTGCCATCTCTAACATGTTTCCATCCATGTGATGATGTTCCTTGCCATCTCCAACATGTTTCGATCCATGTGATGATGTTCCTTGCCATCTCCAACATGTTTCCATCCATGTGATGATGTTCCTTGCCATCTCCAACATGTTTCCATCCATGTGATGATGTTCCTTGCCATCCCAAACGGCTGTCAAGAATCTTCTCTTATTGTTTTCCTCTACTTCTCCTTACATATATCTTTCCAGTTGTCACAGTATGTGTTATAAAATCCTAGCCTGCACAGTCCATGGCAACAGCACTAGCCATGCATCCCTAAATCCTCAAAGACACCCACTCCTACCCCGCCTACACCACAAAAGTCGTAAATAAAGGCTGTGTTCGGCAGTTGAAGTATTTTTCGATTTTCTCTGCTCATAGTTGGGCTGAAAAGTGACGTTTGTCATAACTTCTTACGGAACATTTAGATTACTGAAGTTGGCTGTCCCGTTGCTGTGTGAACATTTCTAATTATGTATGTTATGATTGCAGTTTGCCAACAATGAGATCAGACAACCCTGAAAGTGATGAGGATTTCATGTTTGGGGCTGACGATAGGTATGTTAAATATTTTGGGTTTAAAAAAAAAGTTTTTATTGATAGTCTATCTGCTCCAGGGTGTTGATGGTGCAGTGGCTGGCCTGTTTGCCTGCTAACACGGTTGTAATGTTTCTCTTATTGTAATGAAGGACTGATCATTGTCTAGTGTTCACAGAGAAGAGGAGACAGAGTTTCTCTCCAGGCAGCTGCTACAACTTCTCCACATAACAGTCGACACCAGTCGATGACAGTTTCACGTTTACTGATCACAACTCATGAGCCACGAGAGCCTGTCCTCCAGTCTAACAAACAGCCTAGCCACAATCCACAGCTTGACACTTACTTCACACATCCTGGTTCCACTTAGCCCTCTACGGATCACACGGCCAAACATTCAACTTCCATCGTTGACATGTACACGACCACAATCAGCACTCAGTAGGACACATCATTATTGCATTTCTCCCAGCCTTCATTCAGCGTAGCTTTCAATGCAGACAATCAGCTTTCTATGCAGATGATCAGCTTTTTTTCCTGCAGACGATCAGTTTTCACATTCTCCAGCTCTGGGACCCTGTCGTTGGATGAATCCCTATTCCCCCAAGTTCACTCACACATTCACAAGGTTTCAGTCTCTCATGCTGACTTCTTGTCTTGCAACTTAGGGGTTCCCTGATTCTAAAAACCAATCAAAACTCTTACTCTAATTTTCCATTACAGAAAGCTGTTGAAAACAGTTGTGTGGTGAATATTATGACCCATCAAAGGTGCAAACAGAGGCGATTGGAGAGTGAGAACAACAACATGTTCATAATCTGTTTAAATGACCGTTTATTATTGGTGTGTTTTGAGGGTTAATAGACTTGAGTTTTGGTGCATAAGATACAGAGCAAATTCCAGATAACAGGCAGACAACAACTTTCTGCACACGGAGGTTGAAAAGCTTAAACCATGAGGCAGACAAAGACAGTAGAGTAAATCCAGGCAGACCTACAGACACTTGGAATTACCAACTAGAAAGAGAAGGCTAGTTACAGAGATCTATGAAGTTGATATCTGCAGCACACACTGAACTTCAAGGACTTGGGATGCTGAAGAAGAAGAAGGACACAGTTGATATTTTGTCTTGAGCTCAGAAAAAGTTGACATTGTACTCCATAGTAAAAAAATATAATTTGTCATGAGCCGGAAGAAAGTTAAGACTGGGCAGCCCTAACTGATATTTTGTCTTGAACTAAGGGAAAGAAAGGAACTAGACTCTGCAGCTCAATTGTGTCGGTTTGTTCTGAGTTCTGAAAAAGATAATACTCTGTAACTTAGTTTTGCATTCTTTCTTGAGGCCTAAGAACAGTGAAACTCTATAGCCATAGTTGATATATTGCCTCTAGTACACAGAAAGTTCAATGTGCAGACTATATAAGCAAATACAATGTTCTGTCCTCAGCTCAGAGAAGGATAAGAACACTGACTCCATAGCCAAACCCCTGTACAGGCTGGTGGGGGAGGTGTTTGAGCTGCAGGGAATGTTCCGCTTCTTCAGGAGGAGCCTCATGAGTTTTGTAGAACTGACGTTTGGACGTTCTATAGACAGGTAACAAAGGTCGTCTCATGAGTTATGTAGAGCTGACGTTTGGTCGTTCTATAAACAGGTAACAGTGGTCATCTCATGAGTTATGTAGAGCTGTCATTTGGACGTTCTATTCATTCATTCATTCATTCATTTGCACCTTTCCGTCTTTCCAGACGATAGTATTATATTGCGCTATGAGGAGGCATGAGACTCACAGCCCATGGCGATGGTGAGTGTGACTAGCAAGACCCGCCCGTGTCAAGAAAAGTCTTCCACAATGATAGCATGTTAACAACATTTGTGTTTAATCCGTTTCCTTTCAGACGCTTAACTCTCATCCTTTCTGCAATTATTTCTTCCTTCAGTCTCATTCCCTTCCTGATATGCCCTTTCCACACAACACAGTCCAGGGCATTTTGTTTCCATGAGTCCGCCTCAATACCTGTATTATTCATGTCCCGCTTGCACACATCTTTAAAACGTAGTAGAGGTCGGCCTCGACATCTTCTTCCTGTCATTAATTCACGTTTGGACGTTCTATAGACAGGTAACAGTGGTCATCTCATGAATTTTTGTTAAATGTAGAACTGATATTTGGATATTCTGTACACATGCAAAAGTGTTTATTTTATGAGTTTTATGGAACTAATGTTTTGATGTTTTATAGATTTGTAGAACTACAAGAATTTATAGATACTGTAGTTGCAGACAGTGATAAAATGGGCCTCAGTTTGAATAATAGAAAGACAGAAGTAAAGGTGATTTCCTAGAAAAGAATAAAGCCTAAATGTATAATAAAAGTCAGTTGCGTTGTTTTAGGACAAGTATAGCAATTTAAGTATCTAGGCACTGGATATTTTAGGACAAGTACAGCAATTTAAGTATCTAGGCACTGGATATTTTAGGACAAGTACAGCAATTTAAGTATCTAGGCACTGGATATTTTAGGACAAGTACAGCAATTTAAGTATCTAGGCACCTGGATATTTTAGGACAAGTACAGCAATTTAAGTATCTAGGCACTGGATATTTTAGGACAAGTACAGCAATTTAAGTATCTAGGCACTGGATATTTTAGGACAAGTACAGCAATTTAAGTATCTAGGCACCTGGATATTTTAGGACAAGTACAGCAATTTAAGTATCTAGGCACTGGATATTTTAGGACAAGTACAGCAATTTAAGTATCTAGGCACTGGATATTTTAGGACAAGTACAGCAATTTAAGTATCTAGGCACCTGGATAAACTGCATTTGATAAAATGAAGAACATTTCATGCAATAAATCTGTCATTGGAGGTTAGAAAAAGGATTCTTGCATGCTATACAGAACCAGTTTTAACATACGGCTGTGAATCATGGACAATTAATAAACAAGTTGAACAATATCTTGAGGCCTCGGTTTTGTGGTTTTACAGAAGATTCTTTAGAATTCCTTGGACAGATAAGAAAAGCAACCCAGATGTTTTGAAAGAGGCGAGTGCTCAAAGACAACTTATCACAAACATCAGAAAGAGACAGTTATAATTTGTTGGTCATGTTACGAGAGAAACTGGAACATGTTGTTACCACTGGAAAGATCTGTGGAAAGAGAGACAGGGGAAGACAACACAAGAAAATTCTTGACAGCCTTTTATCATGTCATGGAATGGAGGAGTGTCAACACAAGAACTGATACACGCAGTTCTGGATCGTAGATTGTGGAGAGGCATGATCACCTACACCAGTCCGCAAGGCACTTGAGGGTGATGATAGATAGGCAATAATGTCACCTCATGAAATGGTAACACTGATATTTGGACGTTCTATCGACATGTAAAATTTATCACCCCCTGAGATATGTAAAATTACCATTTGAACATGTTTCACCATCTCACAAAATCATGGATGATTTCTGTGTTCTTGTGCCATCCCTGCCATGTGGTCATATATTCTAGATAATTATCTCTGTGTCTTCCCCTTGATTTTTTCATCTAAAGTTTTCAGCTGCAAAAGAATTTGAGTGTATTCCTTCCCATAAGATGTTCGTAAAATCTTGAATGTCTACATTTAATATATATAATCACTTTACAGGGTTTTATTTTTGTTGGGAGGATGGCCTTCTTTGCTGTTCTTTCTTGCTTTCTTTCTTTCTTGCTTTCTTTCTTTCTTTCTTGCTTTCTTTCTTTCTTGCTTTCTTTCTTTCTTGCTTTCTTTCTTGCTTGCTTTCTTTCTTGCTTTCTTTCTTGCTTTCTTTCTTGCTTTCTTTCTTTCTTTCTTTCTTTCTTTCTTTCTTTCTTTCTTTCTTTCTTTCTTTCTTTCTTTCTTTCTTTCTTTCTTTCTTTCTTTCTTTCTTTCTTTCTTTCTTTCTTTCTTTCTTTCTTTCTTTGATCATCTCTTTCTTTCTTTCTTTATTTTTTTTCTTTCTTCTTCTTCTGATTCTGCTTCTTCTTTTTCTTCTTTCTCTTTTAGTCAGTGCTGTATAGTGTTGGTAGTCCCCTGCCTTCTGTCTCATGTACGTTAAATAATTGTTGACACAGATGATCCTGTATGACAAATTGACCAGCATCTTCTCTGTCTGTCTCCCTCTATTATATCTTCCCCTCCATCTTTCCCTGTGTCACAATGAACTTCAGTTATCTTCTTATCAGTTCTTCTCTTCATGGGTTAATTTCTTGTAAGACATCCTCATACTCTTGTTTGTCTCAGTCTATGTCATTCTCTGTATTTACCTTGTGAAGTGTAGTTAAGCAGTCTGAACATGTTAGTGGCTATGGACCAATAAGTATATTATCATTTGTTAAGAATAGAAATCGCTCTATTTATATTGTCAGCATTGATTTCTGACTGCAGGCAGCTGAAGGCCACAGTTGATTGGCTGGTCAGTGAGCAGATGTTAATCTATTACACCCAGACATTTAAGGACAGCTTTTGGCCTGATGGAGATTGGGCCAAACCATCCCCGCCCAGGAGTGACCAGCAGAAATTAGACAACAGGATTCAGGCCAAAACCAAGTTACTTGAGAATATGCCAGGTTGGCTGTGTTGTTTTTATTGTGAGGTTCATCATCATCATCTGTCATGCTGATAGGCAAGAGTGTCAGTGAGCTTATATCTGCCGTAACGGCATATGGCCTGTGTTGTAGGCGCAAGACAGATCAAATCTCCTAAAACACACTAAGCCCAAACACCTGCAGAGCACATAACAGTCTTTAATGTACAGAACAATATAACAGACACTAGTTTGCCTCAAAAGTCATGGGCACCACTATCCGAAACAAAGGCTGTGAAGGCTTTACAAATCACCTCTAACTCCTATCACGTTTCCATGGATAGTACCTGGGTCCAAACCCATACTGCTTCCATACTGCTCTTTCCTCCACAACTGAACTCCACACCATGACTTGGTGAGGCACAGTGAATGACGACAGATCAAATCACAACAACCAGTATAAACCAACCTTAGCTACCAGACTAACTATAGCATCTAATCAGCTACCAACGGAACAAGCGACACAGAACCTATCTCTGTCGAGCACTATATAACACAGAAGTACTGCTACTGTCTAATGAAACACATTGTAACATGGTCACTATGGTCTGACCACAACATATTGCAATCTGTCGATTGAACTGTCACAAGTCTCTGCAGTGCACATCCTGGAAACCAACTTTCTTGATCTTTCGCTATCCACTGTTTTTTTTTCGGTCCTACAGTTCAGTCCCTGTTCTTGCGGGGCTTCTGGCTTCAGAAGCGAACCACTCAGCCAGTCACAACTTCCTATCATCGTCAGTTCGTATTGGGGAACTCGGGGTCATGTCTCAGTCATGTAAGTGCAGACATGGAACATTCACTCTTTAGACATTAAACATTCACTACTATCATACAGTCTGTCCCGTACCCACACTAGCTTCTGATGAAGAGCAGTAATGGCTGTCACTTTCACTTGATCACTGGAGTATCATATCAGGTCTGGTTTTTGTTGTTGTTGCAAGCTTCATTTTATTTCTGTGTTTGCCTTGAAAAGGGCGATTGATACATTCTGTTTCCTCCCGTTATAGTCAGGTTTTACAACGTGCTTGTTGGGGAAGGCAGCGCAGGCCTAAATTATTGACTGTTTACAGTAGCAGTGAGCTGCAGTTCTGTTGTGTGATTGTTTGTGTTGGCACATCTGACAGCTGTCTTATGCATTTTTACTGTGCATTTACTTCAGGATTTTGCTGGCACTGACAAGTTTTCAAAAGGGACAGTGAGGGACATTTTATGTGATTTCTACTCGCACAGGAAAGAGAACAGTACAAATGATGCTGCAGCGTACATACAGAGTAGAAAACATATCTGTGTTGTTGCATTTCTTTTATGACTATTTTCTTTCATGGTCATATTATTATATGTTCTTCTATGGCTGTGATGTTACCTTTCCTTTCGTGGCAGTACTCAACACTGAGGGGAAAACATACCTTTCCTTTTGTTGCTGCACTCAGCACTGAGGGGCAAACAGGCAAACTTTTAATCAGGTTGTGGCTGGTGTGGTTAGTATACTGTCTGATCTTTGGCAACTGAAGAAGAGGACAGAGCATGTATGGGAATGTCTTGAGTGCAGGGATGTCAGTTCTTGATTCATTTGTTCATTCATTGCTGTATTATTATTATTTTTTCATTTATGACTCTATTAATACATTGTTCCTTATGTCTGTATTGATACATTGTCCCTTATGTCTGTATTGATACATTGTTCCTTATGTCTGTATTACTACATTGTCCCTTATGTCTGTATTGATACATTGTCCCTTATGTCTGTATTGATACATTGTCCCTTATGACTGTATTGATACATTGTCCCTTATGTCTGTATTGATACATTGTCCCTTATGTCTGTATTGATACATTGTCCCTTATGACTGTATTACTACATTGTCCCTTATGTCTGTATTGATACATTGTCCCTTATGTCTGTATTGATACATTGTCCCTTATGTCTGTATTGATACATTGTCCCTTATGACTGTATTGATACATTGTCCCTTATGACTGTATTGATACATTGTCCCTTATGTCTGTATTGATACATTGTCCCCTATGACTGTATTGATACATTGTCCCTTATGTCTGTATTGATACATTGTCCCTTATGACTGTATTAATACATTGTCCCTTATGTCTGTATTGATACACTATCGTTCATGTCTGTATTGATACATTGTCCCTTATGTCTGTATTAATACATTGTCCCTTATGTCTGTATTGATACATTGTCCCTTATGTCTGTATTGATACATTGTCCCTTATGACTGTATTAATACATTGTCCCTTATGTCTGTATTGATACACTATCGTTCATGTCTGTATTGATACATTGTCCCTTATGACTGTATTAATACATTGTCCCTTATGACTGTATTGATACATTGTCCCTTATGACTGTATTAATACATTGTTCCTTATGTCTGTATTGATACATTGTCCCTTATGTCTGTATTGATACATTGTTCCTTATGTCTGTATTGATACATTGTCCCTTATGTCTGTATTAATACATTGTCCCTTATGACTGTATTGATACACTATCGTTCATGTCTGTATTGATACACTATCGTTCATGTCTGTATTGATACATTTTCCCTTATGTCTGAATTGATGCACTATCGTTCATGTCTGTATTGATACACTATCGTTCATGTCTGTATTGATACACTATCGTTCATGTCTGTATTGATACACTATCGTTCATGTCTGTATTGATACACTATCGTTCATGTCTGTATTGATACATTGTCCCTTATGTCTGTATTGATACACTATCGTTCATGTCTGTATTGATACACTATCGTTCATGTCTGTATTGATACATTGTCCATTATGTCTGTATTGATACACTATCGTTCATGTCTGTATTGATACACTATCGTTCATGTCTGTATTGATACACTATCGTTCATGTCTGTATTAATACATTGTCCCTTATGTCTGTATTGATACATTGTCCCTTATGTCTGTATTGATACATTGTCCCTTATGTCTGTATTGATACATTGTCCCTTATGTCTGTATTGATACATTGTCCCTTATGTCTGTATTGATACATTGTTCCTTATGACTGTATTAATACATTGTCCCTTATGTCTGTATTGATACATTGTCCCTTATGACTGTATTAATACATTGTCCCTTATGACTGTATTGATACACTATCGTTCATGTCTGTATTGATACACTATCGTTCATGTCTGTATTGATACATTTTCCCTTATGTCTGAATTGATGCACTATCGTTCATGTCTGTATTGATACACTATCGTTCATGTCTGTATTGATACACTATCGTTCATGTCTGTATTGATACACTATCGTTCATGTCTGTATTGATACATTGTCCCTTATGTCTGTATTGATACACTATCGTTCATGTCTGTATTGATACACTATCGTTCATGTCTGTATTGATACATTGTCCATTATGTCTGTATTAATACATTGTCCCTTATGTCTGTATTGATACATTGTCCCTTATGTCTGTATTGATACATTGTCCCTTATGACTGTATTAATACATTGTCCCTTATGTCTGTATTGATACACTATCGTTCATGTCTGTATTGATACATTGTCCCTTATGACTGTATTAATACATTGTCCCTTATGACTGTATTGATACATTGTCCCTTATGACTGTATTAATACATTGTTCCTTATGTCTGTATTGATACATTGTCCCTTATGTCTGTATTGATACATTGTTCTGTATTGATACATTGTCCTTATGTCTGTCCCTTATGACTGTATTGATACACTATCGTTCATGTCTGTATTGATACACTATCGTTCATGTCTGTATTGATACATTTCCCTTATGTCTGAATTGATGCCTATCGTTCATGTCTGTATTGATACACTATCGTTCATGTCTGTATTGATACACTATCGTTCATGTCTGTATTGATACACTATCGTTCATGTCTGTATTGATATCGTTCATGTCTGTATTGATACATTGTCCCTTCATGTCTGTATTGATACACTATCGTTCATGTCTGTATTGATACATTCGTTCCTTATGTCTTGATATTGATTCATGTCTGTATTGATACACTATCGTTCATGTCTGTATTGATACACTATCGTTCATGTCTGTATTGATACACTATCGTTCATGTCTGTATTGATACATTGTCCCTTATGTCTGTATTGATACATTGTCCCTTATGTCTGTATTGATACATGTCCCTTATGTCTGTATTGATACATACCCTTATGTCTGTATTGATACATTGTCCCTTATGTCTGTATTGATACATTGTTCCTATGACTGTATTAATACATTGTCCCTGTATGTATTGATACATTGTCCCTTATGACTGTATTAATACATTGTCCCTTATGACTGTATTGATACACTATCGTTCATGTCTGTATTGATACACTATCGTTCATGTCTGTATTGATACATTTTCCCTTATGTCTGAATTGATGCACTATTCTGATTGATACACTATCGTTCATGTCTGTATTGATACACTATCGTTCATGTCTGTATTGATACACTATCGTTCATGTCTGTATTGATACATTGTCCCTTATGTCTGTATTGATACACTATCGTTCATGTCTGTATTGATACACTATCGTTCATGTCTGTATTGATACATTGTCCATTATGTCTGTATTGATACCACTATCGTTCATGTCTGTATTGATACACTATCGTTCATGTCTGTATTGATACACTATCGTTCATGTCTGTATTAATACATTGTCCCTTATGTCTGTATTGATACATTTGTCCCTTATGTCTGTATTGATACATTGTCCTTATTTCTGTATGTACTTGTATTTATTGATACATTGTCCATTATGACTACATTGTCCCTTATGTCTGTATTGATACATTGTCCCTTATGTCTGTATTGATACATTGTCCCTTATGACTGTATTAATACATTGTCCCTTATGTTCTGTATTGATACATTGTCCCTTATGACTGTATTAATACATTGTCCCTTATGACTGTATTGATACACTATCGTTCATGTCTGTATTGATACACTATCGTTCATGTCTGTATTGATACATTTTCCCTTATGTCTGAATTGATGCACTATCGTTCATGTCTGTATTGATACACTATCGTTCATGTCTGTATTGATACACTATCGTTCATGTCTGTATTGATACACTATCGTTCATGTCTGTATTGATACATTGTCCCTTATGTCTGTATTGATACACTATCGTTCATGTCTGTATTGATACACTATCGTTCATGTCTGTATTGATACATTGTCCATTATGTCTGTATTGATACACTATCGTTCATGTCTGTATTGATACACTATCGTTCATGTCTGTATTGATACACTATCGTTCATGTCTGTATTGATACACTGTCCCTTATGTCTGTATTGATACATGTCCTTATGTCTGTATTGATACATTGTCCCTTATGTCTGTATTGATACATTGTCCCTTATGTCTGTATTGATACATTGTCCCCTATGACTGTATTGATACATTGTCCCTTATGTCTGTATTGATACATTGTCCCTTATGACTGTATTAATACATTGTCCCTTATGTCTGTATTGATACATTGTCCCTTATGTCTGTATTGATACATTGTCCCTTATGACTGTATTAATACATTGTCCCTTATGTCTGTATGTTCATTGTATGTCTGATTGAATACATTGTCCCTTATGTCTGTATTGATACATTGTCCCTTATGACTGTATTAATACATTGTCCCTTATGTCTGTATTGATACATTGTCCCTTATGACTGTATTAATACATTGTCCCTTATGACTGTATTGATACACTATCGTTCATGTCTGTATTGATACACTATCGTTCATGTCTGTATTGATACATTTTCCCTTATGTCTGAATTGATGCACTATCGTTCATGTCTGTATTGATACACTATCGTTCATGTCTGTATTGATACACTATCGTTCATGTCTGTATTGATACACTATCGTTCATGTCTGTATTGATACATTGTCCCTTATGTCTGTATTGATACACTATCGTTCATGTCTGTATTGATACACTATCGTTCATGTCTGTATTGATACATTGTCCATTATGTCTGTATTGATACACTATCGTTCATGTCTGTATTGATACACTATCGTTCATGTCTGTATTGATACACTATCGTTCATGTCTGTATTAATACATTGTCCCTTATGTCTGTATTGATACATTGTCCCTTATGTCTGTATTGATACATTGTCCCTTATGTCTGTATTGATACATTGTCCCTTATGTCTGTATTGATACATTGTCCCTTATGTCTGTATTGATACATTGTTCCTTATGACTGTATTAATACATTGTCCCTTATGTCTGTATTGATACATTGTCCCTTATGTCTGTATTGATACATTATCGTTCATGTCTGTATTGATACACTATCATTCATGTCTGTATTGATACATTGTCCCTTATGTCTGTATTGATACACTATCGTTCATGTCTGTATTGATACACTATCATTCAAGTCTGTATTGATACATTGTCCCTTATGTCTGTATTGATACACTATCGTTCATGTCTGTATTGATACATTTTCCCTTATGTCTGAATTGATACACTATCGTTCATGTCTGTATTGATACACTATCGTTCATGTCTGTATTGAGACACTATCGTTCATGTCTGTATTGATACACTATCGTTCATGTCTGTATTGATACATTTTCCCTTATGTCTGAATTGATGCACTATCGTTCATGTCTGTATTGATACACTATCGTTCATGTCTGTATTGATACACTATCGTTCATGTCTGTATTGATACACTATCGTTCATGTCTGTATTGATACACTATCGTTCATGTCTGTATTGATACACTATCGTTCATGTCTGTATTGATACACTATCGTTCATGTCTGTATTGATAAGTTTATTTTGTTTGTTTGGCAGACACTCTCAAGACTCTGGTGGGGGAGGACAATGGTCGACGAGGAATGATCAAAATATTTGAGGTTCTTCAGAATAAGAACCTGAACAAACATCTGCTTTATGTGAGTGCTCACAGCTAATGAATGTCACATTGCGTTGTAACACTTGGGGATAACTTTTTAGATTGTAAGTAATAGTTGGGTTGTTGGAAATAACTTCTGTGATTGTAAGTAATACTTGGGTTGTTGTAACTTGGGGATAACTTATTAGATTGTAAGTAATACTTGGGTTGTTGTAACTTGGGGATAACTTATTAGATTGTAAGTAATACTTGGGTTGTTGTAACTTGGGGATAACTTATTAGATTGTAAGTAATACTTGGGTTGTTGTAACTTGGGGATAACTTATTAGATTGTAAGTAATACTTGGGTTGTTGTAACTTGGGGATAACTTCTTTGATTGTAAGTAATACTTGGATTGTTGTAACTTGGAGATAACTTATTAGATTGTAAGTAATACTTGGGTTGTTGTAACTTGGAGATAACTTCTTTGATTGTGAGTGAAACTTGGATTGTTGTAACTTGGAGATAACTTCTTAGATTGTAAGTAATACTTGGATTGTTGTAACTTGGAGATAACTTCTTAGATTGTGAGTGATACCTGGGTTGTTGTAATTTGGAGATAACTTCTGTTATTATAAGTGATGCTGGAGTTATTGTAACTTGGAAATAACATTTTTGATTGTATTGTTTGGGAAGTTGAAATAATATTTTAGATGTAATGCTTACGTTATTTTAACTTGGAAATAAAGTTTTAAATTATAATACTTGGCCATAACATTTCAACTTGTAAATAACATTTTAGATTCTAATATTTTGGTTATTTTAACTTGGAAATAACATTTGAGATTGAAATATTGTTAATTATCATCATCAACATGTTACAGGCTTATTGCAGAAAGTTGCTGTCTTCATGGCATGCCTAAAAATAACTAACTTTTTTTGGGGGTGGTTTCTTCTGTCTGATGCATCAGCACAAAGAGATCTAATTCAAAGCATATTTATTCCAACTCTGTGCTACCAGTGCCAGACATGGTCACTCACAACAAACCATAAAAGAAAATTAGTAACCACGGAAATGAGATGTCTGAAAAGGGCTGTAGGAGTGACCATAAGAGATAAGATCAGGAATGAGATCATAAGAGAACAAGTTGGCACAGAACCAATTCTGGATTACATACAAAGACAGCAAGTGAAATGGTTTGCCCACTTAGAGAGAATGCCTTGTGACACCATACCATACAGAGCATACATGGAAAGAGAAGAAGGACGTAGAGCACCGGGTAGACCAAGAACAAGATGGAAGGATAACATCAGAGAAACTCTACAACAGCACGATGCGCCTATGGTCGAGGCAGCCAGAAGAGCTAGAAACAGAACCTTATATCTCCCTCGACACCCACAGCGGTAAAAGAGGAAGTGAAGAAGAAGAAGAAGAAGATGAATTTCTACTCCTAGGTTGTCTTGAGTGTCCTCCACTCACTTTTGCCTGTGTTGGACTCTGTCCTTCTAGAAACCATGGTTTCCATTACTAAGAAGTCTGTCTGCCTGTTCATTTCCCAACACTCATGCATAACCAGAAACCAAAAAATGCAAAAAATAACGCTAATTACCTGGGACCTATGAGGCTATGCTTGCCACTCTGCATGAAGCACGCATGTCTCCATTTCACTTAACATGCTTTGTGAGTGGGTTAAAATCAGGACATACGTGTGGAGCTGGTTCTGAAGGCCTTCCTGAGAAGTCTATATGCCCGGTGCCTGACTGGCCAAAAAAAATGGTTCTTCACTGTTACTATTGTATTCTAACAATGTTTCTGTAGCATTTAAGTTCTTCACTGTTACTATTGTATTCTAACAATGTTTCTGTAGCATTTAAGTTCTTCACTGTTACTATTGTATTCTAACAATGTTTCTGTAGCATTTAAGTTCTTCACTGTTACTATTGTATTCTAACAATGTTTCTGTAGCATTTAAGTTCTTCACTGTTACTATTGTATTCTAACAATGTTTCTGTAGCATTTAAGTTCTTCACTGTTACTATTGTATTCTAACAATGTTTCTGTAGCATTCAAGTTCTTCACTGTTACTATTGTATTCTAACAATCTTTCTGTAGCATTTAAGTTCTTCACTGTTACTATTGTATTCTAACAATTATCTGTTGGCTAATGACCTCCATTACCCTCTGTTGGCTAATGACCTCCATCCTTAACTGTTGGCTAATGACCTCCATTAACATCTGTTGGCTAATGACCTCCATTAACATCTGTTGGGTAATGACCTCCATTAACATCTGTTGGGTAATGACCTCCATTATCATCTGTTGGGTAATGACCTCCATTATCATCTGTTGGGTAATGACCTCCATTATCATCTGTTGGCTAATGACCTCCATTATCATCTGTTGGGTAATGACCTCCATTAACATCTGTTGGCTAATGACCTCCATCCTGTTGGCTAATGACCTCCATCCTGTTGGCTAATGACCTCCATCCTGTTGGCTAATGACCTCCATCCTGTTGGCTAATGACCTCCATCCTGTTGGCTAATGACCTCCATTATCATCTGTTGGGTAATGACCTCCATTATCATCTGTTGGGTAATGACCTCCATTAACATCTGTTGGGTAATGACCTCCATTATCATCTGTTGGGTAATGACCTCCATTATCATCTGTTGGGTAATGACCTCCATTATCATCTGTTGGCTAATGACCTCCATTATCATCTGTTGGGTAATGACCTCCATTATCATCTGTTGGGTAATGACCTCCATTAACATCTGTTGGCTAATGACCTCCATCCTGTTGGCTAATGACCTCCATTAACATCTGTTGGGTAATGACCTCCATTATCATCTGTTGGCTAATGACCTCCATTATCATCTGTTGGCTAATGACCTCCATCCTGTTGGCTAATGACCTCCATTAACATCTGTTGGGTAATGACCTCCATCATCGTCTGTTGGCTAATGACCTCCATTATCATCTGTTGGGTAATGACCTCCATTATCATCTGTTGGGTAATGACCTCCATTATCATCTGTTGGGTAATGACCTCCATTATCATCTGTTGGCTAATGACCTCCATTATCATCTGTTGGCCAATGACCCTCATCATCATCTGTTAGCTAATGACCTCCATCATCATCTCTTGGCTAATGACCTCCATCATCATCTGTTGGCTAATGACCTCCATTATCATCTGTTTGCTAATGACCTCCATCATCATCTGTTGGCTAATGACCTCCATCATCATCTGTTGGCTAATGACCTCCATCATCATCTGTTGGCTAATGACCTCCATTATCATCTGTTGGCTAATTACCTCCATTATCATATGTTTGCTAATGACCTCCATTATCATCTGTTGGGTAATGACCTCCATTATCGTCTGTTGGCTAATGACCTCCATTATCATCTGTTGGCTAATTACCTCCATTGTCATATGTTTGCTAATGACCTCCATTATCATCTGTTAAGTAATGACCTTCATTATCATCTGTTGGCTAATGAACCCCATCATCATCTGTTGGCTAATGACCTCCATTAACCTCTGCAGAACCTTCTAGAGATCATCCTACTGGAGCTTCTGCCTGAGATGAAGAAGGCCAAGGACACAGTTCTGTGCAGACACAAAGTTCGTCGCTTCTCCCAGGAGCAGGAGACCGACTTTTGATGACAGTGATTGGTCAGACTATTGCCATGGTGTAGTAGTTAGCTGTCTTGCCTGCTGAGACAGATCTGGGTTCAGTCCTGCAGAGTCCTGCATTTTGTTCTTGCCATTATGATTGTGGGGTCAAAAAAGTTTATTTAAAAAAATGGACCCTTTTACGCGCCTTCGAGCGTAGTGGGCATGTAGGGCTAGATCTATATGTTTAGACCAATCAGCACTCGTTGTGTGATGGGGTCAACATCACACGGGCCCGTATACTTGCCAGGACTTTACCTGGTACCTGTTTAACGCTGGGTCGATGATCCTGGGTCATTTCAGGTCAGTATAGCTTCATAAAATTGAGGGACCAGATATTTTCCAGAATTGTGTGGTGATTTTTTAGGGGGTTGAGTTTTGTTAAGCTGAGTTGAGGGAACACACAAATTTTATTTTTAAAGGGTGGAGAGTTTAGATTATTAGGAAGAGAATTCTCAGTGTTATCGGTCAGGCATATCGACTGGTGCTTCACCAAAGTGTGGGGGATTGATGCATGACAGACTAGAAGTGATCAAAGCTCGACTGGTGCTTCACCAAATTGTGTGGGGGATTGATGCATGACAGACTAGAAGTGATCAAAACTCGACTGGTGCTTCACCAAATTGTGTGGGGGATTGATGCATGTCAGACTAGAAGTGATCAAAACTCGACTGGTGCTTCACCAAATTGTGTGGGGGATTGATGCATGACAGACTAGAAGTGATCAAAACTCGACTGGTGCTTCACCAAATTGTGTGGGGGATTGATGCATGACAGACTAGAAGTGATCAAAACTCGACTGGTGCTTCACCAAATTGTGTGGGGGATTGATGCATGTCAGACTAGAAGCGATCAAAATTCGACTGGTGCTTCACCAAATTGTGTGGGGGATTGATGCATGTCAGACTAGAAGCGATCAAAACTTGACTGGTGCTTCACCAAAGTGTGTGGGGGATTGATGCATGTCAGACTAGAAGTGATCAAAACTCGACTGGTGCTTCACCAAAGTGTGGGGGATTGATGCATGACAGGCTAGAAGCGATCAAAACTTGACTGGTACTTCACCAAAGTGTGGGGGATTGATGCATGTCAGACTAGAAGTGATCAAAACTTAACTGGTGCTGCACCACTGTGTGGAGGATTGATGCATGTCAGACTAGAAGTGATCAAAACTCAACTGGTGCTGCACCACTGTGTGGAGGATTGATGCATGACAGGCTAGAAGCAATCAAAACCCCTTGGGAGCAAGTAAACAATCTGAAAATGCAAACAGATCATTCAGTCCAGAAAAGAATAATGCACCGGGAAGTGACCAGGTGATCTGGCCTTCACCCTCTACTCGGAGAAGGAAGGAAATATACTGAAACTGCTCACCTGTATGTTGAGCAGTTGGACTAGTCACTAGCTGCTAAAGATGAGGACGTAATGCTTATGGGAATGTTTCAAGTATTGTGATGTTGGTTATTAACTCTTTCGCCCCAACAAAGCCGTTTTTCCGACATTTATGGGATTTTAGGGATGTGAACTCTTTGGGCAGTGGCCCTGTGTCTACACAGCTTAAGTACTCGGTGTACCTGCTTAGTGTGTAGACCTATAGGTGTTGATATAGAAGCTGATTACAAGAAAATTGGGGAAAGATAAATTGTGTAAATAGGCAAGCCGTTTTTGTATTATAAACACAATCAGTGTTTGATGAACTTGTGCAATAAACATGATGCTTGGCTTTTTGTTGTCCCATTTATTCTGACATCCATCTCATTATCGCCGTTTGATCTTCTTCTCAGTCTTTCTCTCCTGTTCTCATTCCTTTTCTCTCTTAATCCATACATTCTACTCTGTCCTTCTTTCCAGTATGTCATCTCTCCTTTAATTTGCCTTAGCTCCCCTCCTTCCACATTTTCTGTCCTTACCTGTCTCATTCTTCTTTCCCAACTTCCTCAGTTTTATTCTTTACTTATTCCATTTCTTCTCTTGCTTTCTCTATTTCTGTTCTGTCCTTGCTGTAATCATTTTCTTCCCATTCATGTTTACTCATCATTGTTGCCCATCTGCCCTTTACCTGTAGTCTGAACTCTCTGATGCCTTTGTTTAGCTTTTTAGTCAGTTTGTGTTTTTTAGTATTTCTTGTCATCAAAAGTCACTGTGGTTTTTCAATGATGACCCAGTTACTTGTAGGCACCTGTTTGTCTGTCATTACCCAGTTACTTTTAGTCACCTGTTTGTCTGTCATTACCCAGTTACTTTTAGTCACTTGGTTGTCTGTAATTACCCAGTTACCTGTGGTCACCTGTTTGTCTGTCATTACCCAGTTACCCGTGGTCACCTGGTTAGTTTGTTCTTCTAGTTGGTTGAGCATTTTGTTAATGTGATGATTCTGTGGTCCATTATTGAATGCATTGGCATTATTTATATTGTTTGTGATATTAAATATTGTTGTATGACCTCATTCTTTGTTGAGATTTCAGAATTATATTCCTATAACAGAAATAAATGTGTTTGATACATGTCACACAGATGTTTCGGACCTAATTATTGCATGCTTTGCTCTAGGTACCATCTGCACTCAAACAAGTACAGCAATTTAAATACTTGGGGAGCATCTTCACAGATGATGGAAGAATTGATAGGGAACTTGAGGCAAGATGTCAAAAGGCGAACGCAGTAACGTACCAACTCTCCCCACTGCTAAAACACCCAAGCATCACTATGGCACTAAAATGACAACTGATAAATTGCACGTTTATACCAACCCTCTGCTACCAATGCCAAACCTGGTCCCTAACAAGAGCACAGGAGAAAAAGATCACGACGTGCGAAATGAGATGCTTACGTAAGGCTGCCAATGTCACAAGGAGAGACAGAGTTCGAAACGAGAACATTAGATCAATTGTAGGAACCACACCATGCCTGCAATACATAAAGAAGCAACAAATAGAGTGGTTTGGCCACTTGATGCGAATGCAAACCGACCAACTGCCTCTACGAGCATACAACGAACAGCACTACTGCCCTAGAGCAAGAGGCAGACCGAGAGTACGATGGATAGACAATATATCATAGATCCTGAGGCAACACGGACTAACAACAACACGTGCAACACACCTGGCCCAGGATAGAAAACTGCGACTCCCCACTACGCTGTGAGGCAATTGTGGACAACACAAGACAAGACAAAACAAGACCAAACAAGACCATCTGCAGTGTAAAACAGTTAACATTAACATTTATTTATATATATAAAAGCATCTGTATTAACTAGCTGATAAGATATGTGGTAATATTGAAACAACTCAGTCAGGGCAAATTAAATTAACATTATCAGCTGATTTTTAATTGCATTTGTTTGTTAAAACATAATTTATAAACTCTTAAAGACGTTATCGCTAGTATACTGGCGAATAAAAATATCCCTAATGGACGTATTGCCAGTATATTGGCGTATGATAGAGACACTCTAATTTTGTTCCGTTTGTGGGGAAAATGAACTTTTTTAAACAAGTTTTTGAACAATTAGGATTAACAACAGGAAATTCTTTTCGTTTGCGAAGTTCATCGTGGTCGGTGCAATATTTTCTGATTTTAAAAAACAATTATTTACATGTGATACAATTTTAAGTGATTTTTCTAAACTAAATGAAAAAGGAGAAGGCCTAGAACTGTTCATACTTCTCTGTCGTTGATGAATCTCTGCCAGATGGGGACAACAGTCTTGATATTAGGATTGATATCTAAGTGACAAACCTATTAGCCATAATTTAGTTTAGGATATGAAAATTGAACACACTATTTCAATCGGATCAATGTTTCGATCAGCTGTTTTCACGATTTTTGGTTGTTGTGAAATTTGACATGTCATTCAAAAAGGATCATGATATCCAAAGTATTGAAATTAATTGTTTCAAATAAAGACTACATAAATACATAATTGAACAGAGAAGGCGTGTGCTTTGGATAGCAGTGTTACTGAACAAGTAAAAAAGTAAAGTAAGCACAACATTTTTTGTGTAAATAATCTTTATATGTGTTTAACATCCTTAAATGTTGTGTGATTTTAATAATAATTTGTTGTAATACTGATACTTAAATAGTTCAGATTTTTTCTACACTCATTTATCTTTAATTTGATATATTATATGTCCCATTAAGTCAATAATGTTTCTTCAGGAAGGTTTTAGCTTTGTTCTAATCTATTGCAGTAAAACAATTCTGCTCAAAGTTAATGCTGTCCAAAACTCAGAAAAAATGTGGTCCTGAAAGAGTTAATGTAAACTGTAGGGAAAACATTTATTTCACCCAGATTCAAATGATTAAAACAAAACAATAAATATATGCAGATATATCAGGTGCCCGGCTGAAACCAAAAATGATACCTTATTTGTCCTCCTCCTGTTCCTGCTACTGCAGGAGTTAAGTTGTCTGTTTTTAACATCACAGCACTCTGGGCATTCCTATGTGTGCTCGGTCCTCATCATCAGCAGCCAGCGCAGAGTTCCACTACTGATTGTAGCGGTCACAATCTGGTTATATGTCCGTCTTGCCTTTTCTCTGAGTGGATTGAGCCGGCCAGACTCTCTGGTTACAGCCAGGTGCCTCATTCTCTCTAGGCCATAATAATCTTCTTTCTTTACTGATTCCGTTGCTTGTTCCCAAAGGGCATGGACCACATGTGCCTTGTGTATCAATTCACCCCCCAATGGTGCAGATCCAGCCAATCTATCTGCCTGTTCATTATTTACTAAGCAGGCATCACCTATAGAAAAGATCCAAAGTAAGCTCACTACCCATGACCTTCCCTGTGAAGCTTGCCACTCTGCTTGAAGTATCCCTGTCTTCACCCTTCTCAGCATGCTTTCAGAGTCAGTTACGACATGTGTATGCATCTTGTTGTCTAGTCACCGGAGAGCTGCAGTTTGCTGCTATCGCAGGAGTGCACCGCAATAAACTAACGGATTATCATTACTATTGCTACAAAAGTGACAGCGACAGGAAAACATTTTGGGTAACGCAAACATTCAGAAAAATCATTCACAAACCAATGATGATAGTGCTCATAGACAAATGAAGAGATCTCATGGACCACCTAGAATGAAAGGGACAGTGTCCAAGAATATCAAGAAAATTTTGAATAATAAATATATGACTGACTGACTTTCTACCCCACAGACATCACACAAGCGATAAACACCTGATGACACAAGTGCCACCATGTGGGGGAGGATCTCCGTGGAGAGATCCCAGAAACCGCGTTCAGCCATTATGCCATATTTATGGCCAGGCTATATTGCGGCCCCTGGCAATAGCCAGAGTAGGGCTTCAAATAACGAAAATTTGCATCCTAAAAAGGACGGCAACATATGAAAATTATCATCATTAATATATGCGGAGTTAAGTACAACGTAAAAGCCATCATAGAAGCAATAAGATAACTGAAAAAAAGCAATATTAGGACTAGCAGACACAAGAACTAGAGGAATATGTTCTAAGAACGTGCATGTAGACCTTGAGTACGTTTACTGAGCAGTAGGGTGAACAAAAGGGCAAAACACTGGGTTGGATTCATACTCGACCCCATGTTAGCTAAAAGTATATATAAATCTTGTCATCCCTTTGTGGGATGCAATTTTTCGTTATTTGAGACCCTACGCTCTTGCCAGGGGCCGCAATATAGCCCGGCCATAAATATGGTGTAATGGCTGAACACGGTTTCTGGGATCTGTCCACGGTGATCCTCATCGGCATGGTGGCCCTTTGTGTCATCCGGTGTTTATGGCTTGTATGATGTCCTGGTGGGGTAAAAGAAGGTAGAAAGATTGATAGCTAAGAGAATCATAAACAGCGAATACATCTCAGAAAGAATCATAACAATTACGACTAGCAACAACGGAATAAATACAACGCATGTTTAAGTATATACCCTGTGTAGCGAAAAAAAAAAAAAAAAAAAACTTCTGATGAAAGCGAAGAATATTTGGATGCAAAAATAGGACACTGGAACGGAGCAGAAGAATACATCGGAAAGGAAAATTTATTCGTAACTTACACTTGTTTCCAACATCGACAATTTCGCATTTATACGAGATATAAATGGAATGAAGAAACACTAGACCATGATGGGACAGTATGCATTGGAGCAGGTTAGCCAGCTCAAATACCTTGGAGTTGTAATAGACTGAAATGGAGACATTAAGACGGAGCTGGCTACTAAAAAAACAGCCGCTGGGAGACTTTCCCAGACTATAAACCGAGGGTTGAGTTGATTTAAGAACTGACATCACAGCACTCGAGGCATTCCCATAAGTGCTCCATCCCCATCTTCAGCAGCCAGCCTAGAGTTCCTATACCAATGGTGCCAGTAGCATTGTGATTAAACATCCGTCTTCCCTTTCCTCTGAGCCTCGAACACGAGCCAGAAACCACTCGCCACTCCTCGCTGCATCAGTGAGAGGAAAGATATAAAACCGAACGAAAAGTATATTAGCAAGCTTCACAGTATAACTACAAACAAAACGTCAACATTGCGCCTATGGAGCATTCACCAGCACATGCACAAATCAAACAATACCACACAAATACACAAAATCACTTAACTGGTACCTCGAAGCAGCCGAAGAGGAGTACAGCATGGCTACAATCACCGGAGAAGTCAACATCTACACTTTGAGACATTTACTTTACTTTTTTTTTTGTTTTAAACTGCAAGCGGTGTGTGATGTATGACCAATAGAACTTAAGACATATGTGTCAAGTATCCCTAAAGAATCGCCATTAACCATCCAAGACAGACAGCAGTACCAAATAGAAGTACATCATCGAGACGTCCTGGCTCTTGTGCATCCTTTGAACCATTTGAATAAACTGCTTTCTCGACGTCAACAAAAGTATCATCCATTTGTCTGTCCACACAAACGCCCTTAACACAAACGCCTCTCAGACATGGCGTGCCATCTATTTTGGACCCTCCCATTTTGGTACATCCTTGTTCATTCCCCACGTCCATGCAGCAGTGCTCGCACATTGTTGTACGGTCTTCGTCACAAGAACAATCGAGCAGACGACGAGTAGGCTCGTAACTGAAGCCTAACCGCTCACAGAAGGACACGCATTTCCCGTGCCAGCATCTACCCAGACTTTGACAGGGGGAGTCGTTCGGCAGAGGTTGTGGTTCAGGACAAGTATGAGACTCGGTGCCCGAACAAAATGCATCTTCAAGACAATCTTGGATATCAACGAAGCATTTCTGCGACGGGGGCGCTATCTGACATGAGTTAGTACAGCATGGATGATTGAACGGAGAGCAGACTGCCTTGTCTTTGAATCTGCAGCGCTTGATACAGCAAGGGTCGTTCATCAGGTATCCAGCATCGCAGTCTTCTTCAGGCTCAACGATGTTGTTGCCACACACTTCCTCGGCAAGGCTACGAGGCTTGAAACAGAAATGGGCTTTCACCTGCAAATTGAGTCTTATATACTAAACAATGTTTTCCCATAATAAATTTAAATAATGCGGACACAAACAATACATTGCACAATTTATTGTCAGACATATTTTGCTGTATCACGTCCGGTGCGGTACTACAGAGTCATAAACATAAAATGAAACACAAAACGTAATTAATCCAACTACTTACCAGGGTAACTTCAAATTTACAATAAATTCCGTCTACTTACAAAGCAGGCGGTCGTTGATTTTAATTGTTAAAGCTTCGGCCATTCTCAACAATCTCCTGTAAACCACACGGATAGCACTGTCTGAGTCAATTACGTGTCCGGAAAAGTAGATGACGTCTTATCGAAGAAGCGGGTTGTTTTCTCTTGACTGATCTGGACACCTCTATAATACCCAGCATCCCCTGTACGATGACGTCGTTATCATCATCATTCTAATGTCCGTTTTTATGCCCTATCGATCTCGTAATAGCTAGGGATTAAATGATGTGATGAGATTACTAATATAGTGCTTTAGGGGAAGAACTAAGCAAATTCCGGTGAGTCAAGAGCGAAAAAAAAATGACGCTGGCGTAGGATAAGACACATGGTGAGAAAACCTGAGAATGATATAACTAGAAAGTCTTTGCACTGGAACCCACACAGACTAAAAAATTCATAGAAAGAGGCTCTAAAGAGTGAAGTTAAAAATGAGGAGATCTGGGGTAAGCTGCAAGCGATAGCAAAATATATTCGGACTGGGAGCATGTGGATAAAAAAGAAAAAAAACATTGCTGAAGTATCCCTGTTTGCAAACAACTGTGGCTACTTACATTTAACACATTGGCAATTTGCTGCCTCGAACAAGGTGAGAATGTTCTGGCGTTAGGAGAGGCTGCAAGAGCAGCTATGGCCGACATCATGTAGGCTTCTCCATTCTGGCTGGAAGGGTTGCACAGGGGGTTGTCCTCAGGGTCATGAATAGATCCCCAGTTGTGCCCAATCTCATGGGCAAGCACCAGCAGATACCTCTGAAAGGCATTTGAGTTGATTTCAGACACGACGAGTTGACGGAGCTGAGGATGACTAGGCCAAAGGTCAGGTCAGTTCAACTGGAGGCCGCGGGACAAAGTGATCTTTTTATGCTGGAGCTCGAGCCTCTGCGTCATGATGGTCCCTATTTTCAATATTCTGGCCCCTGAAAAAAAAACTTAGTTAAAAAGATCCCTCCTCTCACACACACATACACCCACCCAACCACACACACACACCCACCCACCAACACCAATCCACAGCCACCCACATACACCCCCACCCAACCGCACACACACACACACACACCCACCCACCCACACACCCATACACATCCACCCACCCATACATACACCCAACCCACACACACACACACACACACACCCATCCACCCACCCATACACACACACAAATTATGTTTGGTGAGCAGAGCGTTCACTTTACCACCTCTGTTGAAACATTTGTTTATAAATTTCATGTTATTTCAAATTTATTGTTATAAATGTTGCTCTCATTCAGCGTACAGCGATAATAATTACCGTACAGAGCACTCACAGGCGATCTCGGATGTGGCGAATTTCTGATGTGCAGAATAATTTGTTTATCACAACTTTCTGCTTGACCTCTTGTCCGATGAGAATAACCATTTCTTGGGTTCCTGGTGAATTCTTCTTATCAGGCATACTCTGTATTATTATTATTATTGTGTAGTAAAACAAGGCTTAAACCCATTGAACTCCTACAATGTTATAAGGTGGCACATGCACCCCCCTTCACCTTTTTTTTTAATTTTTGTTTTGTGACAGCGCTAATGAGTAGCAGAAAACATCATGGGAAGTCAAGGCAGCCGGTGTGACATGATGATATCACATATCGAGGCCCGATTTGTCTATAACAGTGGCTCTCAACCGTCCTAATGCCGCCACTCTTTCATACAGTCCCCCAAGGTTTTGGTGACCCTTTGGTGCAATTCTTTTTCGCTGCTACTCCATAACTTCTGTGAATATATGTTTGCTGATGGTCTTGTGTGACCCCTGTGACGGGTCGTTCGACAGATTTAGAAACACAGATTTAGAAACACTACGAGTCTAACATCATATGCCTGATGCGCCAGTGGTTTGAAAAAAGGTCCTTTACTTTTCTCAAAAGGGTTGACCAGGCCTTAAATGGGTACCAGAAAATGTCAGGGGAAATCAAGTCTGTGAGTGGGATTTTCATCTCATCTTCCTTGGAGTGTCGATCTAACTATAAACCAATGGGGTGAGTCTCGTATGCTATATACAGCTGAAAGCACCCCAACGAGTCGTTAACTGTTTTACTGATTACTTTGTTTTTCTGATAACTCTGTTTTACTAATTACTCTGTTTTACTGATTACTCTGTTTTACTGATTACTGTTTTACTGGTTACTTTGTTTTACTGATTAATCCGCTTTACTAATTACTCTATTTTACTTGATTACTCTGTTTTACTGATTACTCTGTTTTACTGATTACTCTGTTTTTACTGATTACTCTGTTTTACTAATTACTCTGTTTTACTAATTACTCTGTTTTACTGATTACTCTGTTTCACTGATTACTCTGTTTTACTGATTACTCTGTTTAATTGATTACTCTTACAGAGTCCGTGTGTCTCTCAATAAGCTTTCTATCGAGCTAATGGGTTCTCTCTCACCCATGAATCTCAGCGTCCAACATGTCTTTGTCTAATATTTTTCAGTTACAACCCTTGCCTGTCTGTCCTATTTCTGGTTAGTATCGACCTCCTGTGTCAGACGTGTCTCCGACTTTCTACTGTTTTGGCCTACTATGCATATTTCTTTGAGATACCTCAGGTGCGTGATTATATATATATATAATTTTTTTTATTACAACAGTCTCTATTAGTGTCATATGCGGGTAAAGGAATTGAAGCCGCAACGTTATTGTTCGTTTGTGAATTGATTAGTTCTACTTCTTGTTTGCTTTGATATATCTTTATGCTGTTTTAACGATAATGAGCTCCTTTTTGTCCCGACCGTACCGTAGATACTAATTGCCCCGTTTTATGAATACTTGGAACTAGTAAGGAATTCTGGCCGAGCTCCGCCCAGCTACACGCTAGCTGGCCTGTCATTGGTAATTGGTCAGGCTGGTCTACGATAGAATGGTTTAGAATGCATTCTCTTGTGAGACCTAGGTTCAGTGTGTGTGTAGGGGGGGGGGGAGGGGGTTAGGGAGTTAGGGTTAGAGCCAGTTGTACCAGTTATTTAGTTAGTCTTTCCTCTTGTGTCGAGTGCGGCACATAGGGCAGAGGTCATGACTCTCCATGCATGGCGGTTCGTTGCAATCCGTTGTAGGTCTTGGATGTTTGAGTGGCCCATGAGCGAGCCTTCCCTGATGATAGTTCTACGTAGGGTTTCCCTTGGTCTTCCACGAGATGTACCAGTTATGGTGACGTTAAAACCGTCCCCATCCTGTGATATAGAGAACGCGTTTTCGCCTGTAAGACCGTGGAGAGAATAGAACGTCGAACCAGCCTGACATCCCTGCTATTAAACGTACTCGTTTCAAAGGGTAACACGCATGAATGAAAGTCCAATGTCTGACTTTGTCACTCATAAGTGGGCGCTCAAAATGGACGCCTGCCATGGTCACTGTTGTGAGCCGCGGGAAATTTTTTTTTTCTTCTGCCAGACGGTGGCCGGTGCATTTTTGCTCTATTTGTATACTGAAAGAATAGTTTCGCCCCCCAGCTTCTGAGTTGAGTGCATGGCGTTAAACTGTGAGCTGCGGATTTCATTTATAATGTTTTTTCTACGTGGTGGTGTGAATTTTAGATTCAGAAAATGGCGTGGTGTTGATACTGACAACTAGCCTTTCACTTTAGACTGCAATCTTTTTTGCAGTTCAATAATGTATATATTTTAATGTTGGGGACTGTGGCTTAGGCATGTAGAACGCGTTTCGTGATGAAAGGGTGCCGGGTTCGATTCCAGCTGCGGATGATTTGTCTTGCGTTTGTTTCGACAGTGGTACCGAAAGGTGACAGTTGAGTGCAACGGCTAACTATTTATCATAAAATGTGCATATAAAAACTACAACAGCTCAAAAATGCTGGGGTTGGTTCTGCAACGCCCTGAAAAGGATACGCGGCTTACTATTTTAAAAATATACATTATAATAAGTTGTTCAATATCCTTTTCACAAAGTATGGGGTCTGTGTCAGAAACTAAAATGAGTCAACAGATCGTAGCGAATTGGAATGAATTGTTCTAGAAGTTTGGAAAGCTACCAACACACTTACAGCTACTGGTAGGACAAGGTTTTCTGAGAACATCGGCGTACTGAGTCCAACGTTTCTGGCGTCACTGACGGTTCCCGCGCAGATTCCATTGCCCCAGAGACGAGCATTTGGAGAACCTGTGGTGGCAGTCCCCATAGTTCCGGCGAAGTTTCTCTGCGTGGTCAAATGTGCCAGACAATAGTTGGTCAAGTTTTTTACCCTGAACAAGGAAAAGAGCGTATTTCCGATTGTCATTCTGTTGTTGGGCATGTTATAGTGATTGCTGATATTGGTGTACTCGGTGTGTACAATTAACCCAGCAATAACGATTCCCAGGTTTGTGAAACTATCAAATATCGTGTCTCTGTATATTCGATCTACCGACTGGTAGAGATAGACAAGAATCGATATCATCCGGAGGATATTGCTTCGTCCCATACCTCTGTAGGTTTCAAAATCTGCAATGACAAGCATTTCACACGTATCGTACACGGGAGTGTCACGTTTTGTATTTGATCTCCTCCAACGATCTTCATATTCCTTGTACTGAATTTTAAACTGATTATCTATGGACAAGTATGTTTCTGAATTAAAATTGTCCCAATATATACTGTTTGTTAAAGGATGACCAACGTGGCTGTCGCTGTTTGTAATATTTCTTGTATATGGGTTTGATTTTGTTAAAGTATTATTCTTGATGTGGCTTCTTTGTTTAACTGCCAGCGAATCTGACAACGGGTGTTGTTTATACTGCACTTCCTCACAGAAAGGCTGTAAGGTGGCATTCTCATGGCTGTAGCCATTGAAGATTGAACTATTAAAATCTCGCTGTTTAAAGATGAGCATTAAAGTGGCAGGCGAGTCTGGTACGTGATGAGTGAGTGGCTCAATGGAATACACATCGTCTGGGCTGTGAATCTGAGCTATCCACACGTCATCCGTATGTACAGCATCCACACTGTGCTGTGGGTTGCCGTTAAGATAGCCAGTATAGAATATTTGCTGATCGACGTGGACCGGGGTTATTCTTCCGTCACCGTCCACCATGTGGGCCTGGAAATCTTTCCGTAAAACTGGTGACCCGGGCACGAGATGCAGAACAAAATATTTTCTCAGCGCGGAGAAAGTCACTATTTTCATATTTACTTGTCCAGAAACGACATTTCTTTTTACAACCACGGTAAAATTATCTGGTGCCAGCTCATCGAATTCCTTGAATTTTGAGTGCAGGTTAGAATCTGCCAATGTTAAAACTGACTGGATCCACAGACACGAACAGACCAACCTGGCATACATTTTGGCTAAGCTTTTGTAATTTTGAAGAAGTATGAAGACGCCTTCGCCTTCTTGTCACACAAGATACCGTAGTACTAGTACTTGATACTCGTGTTTCATATTTGTATGATATCTAAATAACGCAAATGATAATCTAATCGGTCTAATGTAGTCTTACATTTGAGGCACAAGTTTCTAAATAAAAAATGCAAAGAATATTTTTACAGAAGCTAACAAACTGCTTATTTACAGAGATATCTAACAAAATTAATATGAAATTGTAAATATGTTTCATTGTGGGATATTTGTTATGCACTGGACTTCCGGTGTAAACAGCCACAATGGCGGCACGCTTTTTCGTCCGTTGAGGCGAATGGCGCAAATTAACTATTTTCGCTCACGTATAATGTGAAAGTTTCATCGGAATGGGGTCTGAACCGTGCAATGGAGTACATGCACGTGAGTTCAGACTTCCCTCAGGGTGTATTCAACGTCCGATGGCGACTATCTACCAATTCAAAACAACCCGTAGACGGACAAGGAGAACGCGAACAGGCAAGCACGGTGGCGCCTGCAGGAAGCGACTGAAATGTGAGAGACTCAGCTTAAAGTATGTTCGCGTTCTCTACTGGAACTGCGCCTCGTTCAGTCAACGCCGACCCATTTTCGAGAAGCTCCTCTACAGCAACGACATTGTTGTCCTACAGGAAACACACCTCGGTGACGAGATGGTTAAAATTGCGGGCTTCCAATCCTTCTACAATAGACGGCACCTCGGACAGCTCATTCTTGTTCGTGACCACATACCGGTGTCTGAGGTGGACATGTCTAAGTGGAATTATGACGACCTACAAGTACACGCAGTCAGAGTGATGGGCCCGGCCCAGTTTGTGATTGTCAATGTGTACGCCTGCAATGGAAAGGTGGATACAGCGAAATGGCAGAGTTTGCTCCAGACTGAGGAAAAGAAAGTCCTTTACTGCGGAGATTTCAACGCCAGAGGAAACCAGTGGGGCAATGTAATCACCAATAAACAGGGGGAAGACCTGGAGGATGCTCTAGTGTCTGCCGATCTAGTATGCTTGAACGACGGAAAGGTTACCCGAATAGCAACCCGACAAGGGGATTCTGACAGCGTAATTGACCTGGCCCTAGTGTCTCCCTCCATTGCACCAGGATGCAGGTGGAGCACACTGGGATACCATGACAGTGATCACTTTCCGTGCGTCGTCCTGGTGGAGAAGAGCAACAACAAAGGTCATGTAATCAATGTGCCTGCTTTTATATATGACCGTACAGGGCAAGATGCCATTAGCAAAATCAGACGACGTAATACAAGAGCAGATCGCAGACGGCGGGAGAGATGGGCCCAGCCACCATGGTGGAATGAAGTAGTCAACATAGCGTGGCTAGAAAAAAGGAACGCTGTCAAGGCATGGCAAAAGGCAAGGAAAATTGATCCGTCACTTTCTGAACGCCTGATCAGTCTGAAAGATGAGGTCAACAAGCGGACAGTGGCTTTCAAGTTAATTGCGAAAGAAGCCAAGACAGCGAAATGGAACGAATTCTGCAAGAGCGTTTGCTCCGAGGGATCTCTTGTGACATTCTGGCGCCTTCAACGGAGCATGCACGGCGCCGCACGACCAAGGGGTATCCCTGATTTTCAGGGTACAGACCTGATATGGCAGAGAACTGATGCTGATAAAGGAAAAACCCTCCTTGCGCGCTACTTGGAGCAAACTGACCAAAAAGACGAAGCTGCAAGAATAGGGGTTAAGATGAAACTGTCGATGCTGTGCGAGAACACTGAGCTAGGCACTGATTTCACAATCACTGCAGACACCTTAAGAACTTGCCTCAAGAAATCGCGCAGCACTGCTCCAGGTCCTGACGGCATCCGATACAATGACATGCTGATGATGTCGAATGCTGATTTGAAAAGCGTGGCAAAGGAATTCAATATCAGCATCCAGAGTGGCCAGATACAAAAGGAATGGCTCCATAGTTATTTGTTTCCACTACCAAAGCCTAATAAAGACCATTCAAAGATCTGCGGCTACAGAATCATCTCGATGCAGAATACTGTTGGCAAACTTTTGGAAAAAATTGTCGCACAAAGATTGACCACCTACTTGGAACTACATGATAAGTTCCCATCAACACTTGGAGGGTACAGATTGAAGAAAGAGACATGGTCCAATGCTGCTGTTTTCGCCTACGATGTGTACGAGGGATTTCAGATTAAAGAAGAGACATGTGCGGCAGTGTTGGACTTAGAAGATGCCTACAATAAAGTACCTTATGATTATTTAATGCAATTACTGCTTAAACTAGAAGTCAATCCTATTCTGATCCGCTGGATTGCTGCGGTCCTGTTCCAGAGAAAGATTGTACTAAGATGTGGTAGCTGGTCCTCAGAACCGCAAACGATATGTCCAGGCTTGCCACAGGGATCACCGCTATCACCAGTCTTATTCAATGTTTATACGGTGATGATCACTGAGCAGCAGTTGAATGGAAAGGGAAGGACTTTGTCATTTGCTGATGACATTTTGATTTATCGACGAGGGCGTGATAGACAGGAGATCGCCAGCACAATGCACAAAGAACTCGATCGAATTGCCGCCTGGTGTGATGGTTCCAATGCCTATGTCAATCCCTCGAAGGCATCAGTGTCATGGTTCTCTTTGAACAATCACATTGTCAAGTCGGACTTACCAGAAGTGAAAATGCGTGATAATGTATTGATCAGAACCAACGTTATGACGTTTCTCGGGGTGAGGTTCGATCGCAGCTTGTCATTCAGGGAACACGTTGACCATGCGATAACAAAAGCACGCAAAGGTCTATCTGCAATGAGGATTATGGCTGCTTGCAATATCGAGCAAAGACTGCTGGTGCTTCTATTCTATGGTCTGGTCCTTTCCCCCATTGAATACGCTCTGGCCATCCTCACTGTCAGTGCTACCCAGATTGAACGACTCGAGAAGGTGCAAAATGAAGCCATGCGTATTATTTTGGGATGTACAAGAGACACATCTTGTGGAGCAATGAGGTATCTACTTGACTTTCCAACAATGAACCAAAGGATCAGGATGTGGAGGGCTCGGGCATACCTCAAAATATGTGCTGATAAGAAACACCCACTGCATCAAGCGCTTTTCAGTGAAAAGGGCGACAGACTGAAGAGGGGAAAATCGTGGCTAGGTCGGGCAGAAGATGTTATTAGGCAAATATGCAGCCTAACCGACATCATACCTGGTGCAGAATGGATACCTGTGCCTCAGGCGTTTATTTGTACATTTTCCTGTATTGTCACACTCAACAGGCGATGTAGAGAAGATAATCCTGTTGCTGTTAATGCAGAGGTCAACGCTCTCATCGGTGAAAATTCAGACGAAGCAGATGCACTAATCTATACAGACGGATCAGTTATACGCCAAAGAAGAAGCGCATGGGCATTTACAGCACGCTCAGCGGGCAGAACAGTCAAAGAAGCCAACGGCGCCTTCTCCATGACAACCAGCAGCATGACGATGGAGGTGATGGCAGTGACGCAAGCGTTTGCCTGGCTTGAAACACAAAAATACACCCGCATATGTATACTCAGTGATTCAATGAGTATGATCCGGAGGGTTCAGGCAGGTTCAGTGCGAAGACAATGGCTTGAATCAATTCAGAAGTCCACTGTGCGAGTAGTCACCTTTATTTTTGTTCCGGGACACGCAGGCGTCGATGGAAATGAAAGAGCTGACAGGTTGGCTGGATCCGCTATCACTACCGACGGTCGGCCTATGGATCATGCTGATATTATCAATGCCCTCAGAGAAATGGGAAGGATAGAGGACTTTGGTGGCAGTGAATCCACATCACTCGCCAGAATGGCAGACTTGGGAATTAAGATCGGCACAGCAAAAAACGAGACGCACACCGGACACGTCAGAAGACTTGTTAATCAACATAGAACTGGTACTATTAGCCATCGGACGTTGGGATTCATACTGAGGGGAGGATCTGAGCACCTATGGACATGTCCGGAGTGCAATGATGATAACCCAACTAACTAACTAACTAACTAACTAACTTGTTATGCACTATAGTGCGCACACAAGTTTCATATTATTTGTGACATTTGATGCGCATGTTAAAGGATTTATGCTCGTCAGTAGAATTCCTGTAGAAAAACTGCATATTCATTCCAACATTAAGCTACCAGTGCCAAACATGGACACTATCTAAAGCCCATATACGTAAAATCACCACCTGCTAGATGAGGTGCCTGAGAAAAGCAGCCAACCTAACCATCTGAGATCGAGTGAATAATGAAACTATCAGGCAAATTGTGGAAACGACACCTTGTTCTAGATTCATCGAGAAACAACTGATTAAGTGGTTTGGCCATCTAGTTAGAATGCGGCAAGATCAAATACCATCACAAGTACTACATCTCAGAAGATCAGCTGCAAGAGCAAGAGGACGGCAGCGGAAAACATGGATCGACAACATTAAAGACACTCTACGCCTTTACGGCATGACAATAACCAGTGGCAGCCAACGTGCACTGGATCGCAAATTATTCCTGCCCAGGACACTTAACGCCAGAAGTGGTTTATGATAAAGATAATGATGATGATGATGATGAGAAGTAGAATTCCTAGTCCGCAACATATAGAGCTGAATGATACTTGACTGAAGCATGTTTAAGAATGTAAATATCAAAGAGGTATATTGTCACAGGATAAGAGAATAGATCGCGAAATCTAAACACAATGATATCAACTGATGCCGCAATTAGGACATCCCAAGTATAAATACCTTACCAACAGTTCAGTTGATATCACGCTAAACAACAACAGCCTTGAAAAAGTCAACAGTTTCACTTATCTAGGGAGCAAGATGTCATCTACAGGAGATACTGCACCAGAAATATCATTTAGAATAGCACTGGCATCTAGTGCCTTCAATAAACTGTCTAACATCTGGAAATCAAAGACACTTAGCAAACACACAAAACTCAAGATCTTCAATTCTTGTGTGATTCCAGTACTAACCTATGGATGCGAGAGTTGGAAATCAACGAAAACTCTAGACACAAAATTAGACAGTTTTGAAAATAAATGCCTTAGAAGAATACTAAATTTCAAATGGTCAGATTTCCGAACCAATGCACAAATAAGGCAAGAATCCAGGCAAGAGTATGTGTCTAATTTTATACGAAAACGCCGCTGGAACTATGTCGGCCACGTCCTTAGAATGGATAAATCAAGACTTCCTTACCAAGCCCTCATTTGGACACCACAGGGGAAAAGATCTCGTGGAAGACCAAGGGAAACCCTACGTAGAACTATCATCAGGGAAGGCTCGCTCATGGGCCACTCAAACATCCAAGACCTACAACGGATTGCAACGGACCGCCGTACATGGAGAGTCACGACCTCTGCCCTATGTGCCGCACTCGACACAAGAGGAAAGACTAACTAAGAATAAATGTGACCACCAGAAACAAGATTTTAAACTGCATTTTCATACCAAAACTTTGGTTTCAGTGCTAAAATTGGACATTATCAAAGGTTAGCCTTCGTAAACTGTACACATGTGAAATGGTGTACCTGCGGACAACCGCCAACTTAACCATCCGAGACAAAAGGAGACTTACTATCAGACAGACTGTTGTAACATTGAAAAACAGAACATCAATTGGTTTGGTCATCTTGCCACATCAACTACAAGAGAAGATGTTTTAATGATATGACAGAGCTTCTACATCGACACGAAATGACAAAAGCTATTGCTACCCAACAAGCAATACATTCCAGTCTGTTCGTCCCCACGCTTTATGGTGAGCAAAGTCAGAGTAGCTGCAGACAAGAAGCATTACATTCCAGTCTGTTCCGCCTCTCCCCCCCCCCCCCCCCCGCAAGCTTTATGGTAAGCAAAGTCATAACTAAGAGTAGCTGCAGACAAGAAGCACCTCCTGCATGAAACCCTAGGTAGAGCTAAGGGTCACAAACTGAAAAGAGGAACGTCGTCTTGGGTGGCACAAACTGAAGACACAATAAGACATGTGTGCATGAATTTGATTTTCTTGTATTTTTTGTCAGGGGAAATAAAGGGGGGAGGGGTGGAGGAGGGTTTGGGGGGCGATACTTTAAAAATACTGAGGCACGCAAATTATTCTTATGCAATTAATTCTTTAAAACATGACAACACACACTTATATCAGCTGACGCCGCCTGTTACTAAATTATTATTATTATTTTTTACGGCAACAAAAAAAAAAAAAAAAAAAACACTGCTAGTTAGTTACTGCTTGTATTTGATTTTTCATTGTAGGCACCTAATAGAAAAAGGGGAAAAAAAAGGGGGGGGGGGGTGGTAGAATCTTTTAGACTGAGGATTAGGGGCCACATAGTTAGTGCTGTCACCAAGGTCTGACTAGATTTAAGGTCTTATTTTTGTTTCCGAGAAAACAAAATTCACAACCTCCCGCATGAGAGTTCAGAGGTCTTATCAACCATTCGCGCAGGCGTTTTTTTTTTTCCGGGTGGGGGTGGGGTGGCGGGGAGGTGGCGGTGGTGGCGGGGGAATAGACTTTCATCTTGTGATGGTGTATGCCCCTCTACCTACTATCATGGATAACTTAATGAATCAAGAAATGACATCACTGCATTTGGGATGTTTTCATAAACGCTCCGTCCCCTTTCTCAGTAGCCAACGACGTGTTCCCGTCCAGGTGGTGCCAGATGCATCCTGATTAGAAATTCGCCTGTTTCCCCATGAGGGTAGAAAATCGTGCAGGCCCCCTTCTCACTTGCAGCCGAGTCCTTCTCTCCAGGTGTGGATGTTTTGGTGTGTTTTGTTGCCTTGTTTACATGATCACATAGACACTTCACTACTCCCGATGTAGCGTAAATTAGCTCATCGCCCAGACGGACGGCAGCATCGAACCTGTCAACCTGCTCAACACCACGATGACCGAATATTCGGGGCAAAAAAATCCACAATGTTGTTCTTATTTGAATTACCGAGCGATGCCAGTAACCCGGGATGCAGGACACCTGTTTCTATTTTCTGAATCATGCTCTGCGTGCCAGCCAGTTGTAACTACAACATGTCGATGAAAGCTCAAGTTTGTGTCACCCTGTTGCGCTTCGAAAACAAATAAACACACAAACTTTAGCAAAGAATTTCACAGTGAGGAAAACACATACGCCCACACACATACACACAAACATACGTGAACGCAAAGAAGCGAACATTTTGACCACAATAGCAGTAGTAGTACTTTTACCCCACCAGGACATCACACAAGCGATTAACACCCGATGACACAAAGTGCCACCATGTGGATGAGGATCATCCGTGGAGAGGTCCCAGAAACCGCGTTCAGCCATTAGGTCATTTTGCGGCCCCTGGCAATAGCCAGGGTAGGGCTTCAAAATAAGAAAAATTGCATCCCGCAGGGGGATGACTAACGTAACTACTGACCACAATATCGTGGACAGAAACAGACGAGAATACTTAGAAACCGAAATGTTACAGTTACAAATAAGTAACCAGTGTTTTTCAATTTACTTTTGTTATTTACTGAAAAATGTGGATGACTTTTTTATAATGATTTTTTTTTTTCAACTGAAAAGGTTTTACTTCCTTGAGTGCTAGAGCGGCTATGTGTTGTACGATTATATTAAAGCTTCTATGCTGTGTTGGCGAAAGAGTGTGTGTCATGTATTTCGAACAGGCGTTGTTGTGTAAAGAGACTTGCTCTGTGTAGAGTGGGTGACTGTTGTGATTGGTCAGGTTACATGCGCTTGCTGAGGTTGTAGTGTTGGGTTTGATGTTTCAAGTAATATTTGTTTCAGTAAAAGATACGAGGTATTCTTTAAGAAGCTGTAGAGCATTAGTTGAGGATGCTTCTTGTTGTTTCGGTGAGAGATGTAATCTATCTTGGCAACAGGCTTTGTTGTCATGTCGGTAATTTTGAGGCTGTCAACCAACAAAAAAGTTATAACTGTTCAGCTTTACAAGGACATTATCTTCAGAGATACACTGGATGTTATGGCTTAAGAGCCTTCATTAGCCCATGCACACATAAATAAAAAGCCACTGCTACAGGTTTGGTGAAATTTTCTGAAGACTTCAGTAGAAAATGCCTGAAATCAAATAAAGTATCAACATATCAGTTCAGCTGGTAAAGATATACCCATAGACATTTACTAAATATGATATAACGCTAATGTTATGTTAGCACCGTTTAGTCTCTTTAGACAATAATGGTATAGTATGGGATGCAGAGACATGGGAGTCACAGCCTGTGGCGATGGCGAGTGTGACAAGCAAGACCGCCCGTGTCTTCCACAACAAGAGCATGGCATTTCAGGACCAGGATGGCTATACAATGTAGTTAGTGTGTGTCTTTTCAGACGCTTAACTCTCAACCTTTCTGCAATATTATTCTCCCGTATTCCTATTTCTTTCCTGATTTTCCCCTCCACTGATCAAGGCATATGGTATTTTGTTCCTACGAATCTGTCCCCCAATGCCTGTATTATGCATGTCCCGCTTGCTATATCACAGTAGATGCCGACTTGGACATCTATCCAATATACCTTTTCTGATATAACTCTAATACACCTCTTAATATGACTCGCTGTCTTAATGTGACACAGTCTGCTGTCGTGTCTAGTGTATAATAGTAATACTAATGCTTGTATGCAGGAGACACGACAGCCGATGACTATAAGTCATTTTTAACAAAGGAATTCTACAGGTCTGTCTGCCTGTCTGTCTGTCTATCTGTCCGTCTGTCTCTGTCTGACTGTCTGTCTGCCTGTCTGTCTGTCTGCCTGTCTGTCTGACTGCCTGCCTGCCTGCATGTCTGTCTGTCTGCCTGCCTGTCTGACTGCTTGTCTGCCTGTCTGTCTGCCCGTCTGTCTATCTGTCTGCCTGTCTGTCTGTCTGTCTGTCTGTCTGTCTGTCTGTCTGTCTATCTGTCTGTCTATCTGTCCGTCTGTCTCTGTCTGACTGTCTGTCTGTCTGCCTGTCTGTCTGCCTGTCTGTCTGCCTGCCTGTCTGCCTGTCTGTCTGTCTGTCTGCCTGTCTGACTGCTTGTCTGCTTGTCTGTCTGCCCGTCTGTCTATCTGTCTGCCTGTCTGTCAATCTGTCTGTCTGTCTGTCTTCCTGCCTGTCTTCCTGACTGCTTGCGCGCCTGGCTTTATATATATATATATATATATATATATATATATATATATATATATATATATATGTGTGTGTGTGTGTGTGTGTGTGTATACACACACATATATATACACACATATAGGGTGGCCACAACATGAGGAACTGTATTAAAGGGTTGCCACAACATGAGGAACTGTATTAAAAGGAACCACTGTACTATTGTAAAGTGAGGTATCGTACTTGCGAAACAGCCGGTCATGCAGTTGGCGATGTTTCCAGCGATGAGACAGGCCACAGAGACCTTGGAGATCCATGCCTTCCTATTGGGCACCAGGGTAAACATGATGCCTATCGTGATGGCCACCGACAGGAAGCTAGAGAAGCCACACAAACAGTACGTGACGATAGCTTCGGATCGATCCTGAAATAAGTGGAAACAGTAAGTGGTGATAGCTTCGGATCGATCCTAAAATAAGCGGAAACAGTAAGTGATGATAGCATCGAATTGATCCTGAAATAAGTGGGAAAAGGGTGTTTTTTTTAATATCCTACCTCAAACAGGGGAAATCCTCAGGTCACCGGACAGTCTAATATTTCAGGAGGTAGATAGGCTGCATGCAGTCGTGGGACTTAGGTGGGTTGGGCTTAGAGCCAGTTCTAGATGTTTTGGGATCGTTATAAACTTCAGAAAGCCGTTCAACTCTGTTTTCACACCTTCTAACATGTTAGACTGTCCCGTGACGTCATCTGGGGGGTAGGATATTAATAAAGGACCAGAAACAGTACATGATGATAGCTTCGGATCGATCCTGAAATAAGTGAATACAGTAAGTGATGCGAGCTTCGGATCGATCCTGAAATAAGTGGAAACGGTACGGAAACATTAGCTTAATTATTCGTGTTGCATTTATTGATGTATAGTTGTTTGTTGAAGTGAGTGTTAAAAGTAACATGCATATGTAATGTCTTTATGCAGATTGGGCATATAAGGCTAGACATAGTCTATAGACCAATCGGCACTTGGTGGGTGAGGTGTCAACGTCACACCAAATTGTCTGTTTAACTGACTGGTAATTTGTATGAATGATTGGTAGTTTATATGAATGATTGGTAGTTTGTATGACTGACTGGTAGTTTGTATGACTGATTGGTTGAATTCTTCACTGATTGATCTCATACTGAGTACATTAATAGAGTATGGTTGTATTTGTGGGTTTTTTTTAAATATCAAAGTAAGCATAATCTATTCTGCTTTTGTCACTGCGGTCTACTATAGGCAAATAGGTTCTCGACGATTGTTTCTTCTAACCGTTCTCAAATTTTCTCTCTCTATCTCTCTCTCTCTCTCACTTTGATTCTCTCTGACTTTTTCTCTGACTCTCTCTATCTATCTCTCTCTGACTGTGTCTTTCTCTGTCTCTCTCTGTCTCTCACTCTGACTCTCTGTGTGACTGTGTCTCTCTATGTCTCTCTTTCTGTCACTTTCTGTCTCTCTCTGTCTCTGTTTCAATTCTCTCTCTGTCACTCTCTGTCCCTATCTGTCTCTTTCTGTCTGTTTCTGTCTGTCTCTCTCCCTGTCGCTCTCTGACTCTCTCTCTCTCTCTCTCTCTCTCTCTCTCTCTCTCTCTGCTTCTCTCTGTATCTTTCCCTGTCTTTTTTTCTGAATCCCTCTCTGTCTCTCCCTCTTTCTTTCTGTCTGTCTCTCTCTCTCTTTCTCTCTTTCTGTCTGTCTCTCTCTCTCTCTGCTGGAGTATTTCTCATTTGGATTCTTGGCTCTCAAATAGCAGACTCACTGTTCTCCAACAAGCATGTCGTTGAAGGCTCTTAAATAGCAGACTCACTGTTCTCCAACAAGCATGTCGTTGAAGGCTCTCAAATAGCAGACTCACTGTTCTCCAACAAGCATGTCGTTGAAGGCGACTAATGAGGTGTATTTTTTTTCGACGCCTGAGTGCATCTGCCTGACAGGCAAAGGACCAACAGTCTGCACACAAATAAACAAGATCTGTCAAGATGATGTCCACGCAAAACTAGAGTCTAAGAAACAAGACCAGTCCAGAAGAGGACGAACAACAAAGACTCTCCCGATGTTTTAACTCAGTGTGATATCCTGTATATGGAAGAAAGCGAATCAATCAGACGACACCTAGACATCAGTTGGGTCTGTCTCCTGTGATCACAGAGTTTCACGGGCACTTGATGGCGAGCAATCTTAAGCCATTAGAGAATAGCGCATATAACTTAAGTCACAATTATAACCAAAAGCTCCCCCTTGATGACACTGGTTGAAGGTGACGATTTTATTTTTTTAAACGGATCGGACACAATAGAGAGCGTTCCCCTAGGGTCGCCGTTCGAAGGAGAGCTGAAATCGCGATTGTGCTGTAAACAGTATCAACGCTCAGGTGCAAAATAAAAGTACAACAATAACGAACAAATATATTTAGGTTAAAGTTGAGAGAATCGACTTCAATGCACCGGGTTTTTATTTCATATGGCTTGGTCTCTCTTTGCAGAACTGTTAGCCGCCTGCCGAGAGCATCGCACAGAGCACGAGCTTTGAAGCTCCGGTGACGATCGCCCAGAATATCTGAAAATACTGCACTTGTGAACTGAAGGGGGCAGCCATGGAGAGAACCCATGACCTTTAGTGCGCGAAACAAACGGCTGGAGCTATTAGGGTAATAAGAATAAGCAGTAATATATTATGGCAGTAAGGAAAAAGTAACACTGACTGATAACAACACCGAATGACGGTTAAGGAAAATAACTATCTGTACAGAAATATGGCTAGGCCGTACTTACTGTAATAAATCCACTTTTGAGTGTGTCGTTCCACAGACCCAAGACAATGTCGTCGCCGTCGTTAAAGACGGGTCCTGTTCCGTTGGTCACCAGCATGTAGTGTGTGTACTTGGCTTTGTTGATTTTCAGATCGGTTAACTGTCAAACATGATCACGCAAGAGATGAGTGGATTGTAAGGAGATTGAATGGATTCTAAAGAGATGTGTGGGTTGTGATCAGATGATTGGATTGTGATCAGATGAGTGGATTGTAAAGAGATTGAATGGATTGTAAAGAGATGAGTGGATTGTGAGGAGATGGACTGTAAAGAAATGAGTGGATTGTAAAGAGATGAGTGAATTGTAAAGAGATTAGGTGGATTATAAAGATATAAGTGGATTGTGATAAGCTGAGGGGACTGTAAAGAGATTGAGTGGATTGTAAAGAGATGAGTGGGTTGTAAAGAGATTGAGTGGACTGTAAAGAGATTGAGTGGGTTGCAAAGAGATTGAGTGGATTGTAAAGAGATTGGGTGGATTGTAAACATATTGAGTGGATTGTAAAGAGATGAATGGATTGTAAAGAGATGAATGGATTGTAAAGAGAGGAGTGAATTGTAAAGAGATGAGGGGATTGTAAAGATTTTAATGGATTGTAAAGAGATTATGGATTGCAAAGCGACAGTGAGAAATGAACTGATAATTAAGTTCCATCTCTTTCATAGGACGTCAAGATGGGTAAAGAAATCAGAGAACTGTATGGGCAACCACTAACAACAACAGTTATCAGACCAGACAAAGAAAATGGCGCTATGTTGGCCAATCCTGAGAAGAATCAACGTCAGCTAACTTATTTTGTGTATTCGTGTGGTTTTGTTTGATTTATGTTTGTGCTGATGAAGGCTCTGTAGCCGCAACTTTCACTCTTCGTTCTTGTTTGTTATTTTGTGAAACTCGCTTGCTTACTTGTTGTTCTGTTGTATATCTTTCAAATCCGGAGAAGAAACGAGCAGAGAATTACCAAACAGGCAGTTAAATGGGAAATTAAGGGACGGGGGCGGCGAGGACGTCTGAAAAAAACCCTAAAACGAACGTTCATGAGAGAGGCTAAAGGCTGCTGGACTGAATTCCACCCATGACATTGAAAGGATTGTACATGATAGTGCAGAACAGACGAATAGACTGCGAGCCATATATGACACACACTAGCACAACAGGACCATGATGATGATGATTTTAGTAGCCAATTTCATGTTGCGTAGTTTGCCATCCCTCCATGGCGGTCGGCGCTTCATACCATTATCAAAATCATAGCAAGGCTGTCTGCTGCCGAATCGCTTACGGATTCAGCATAGTTGGTATTTCGGAATTACTAAACATGTTCGCAAAAGCTTTAATCACAGGCCTAGTTAAAAATCAAATGTAAGAACCCTCGGTCCTTAGCCGCAGAGGTCACAGCAGCCAAGTGTCACCGTTATTTTTACCAAAATTATAACTTGACTGGAGATTAAACGGGGTATTTCTGATCTACCTGGTTGGTCTGCCGTCCAGACAGATTTGGTTTAATCTCAGACTGGTCTTTCGATCGAAAACAGTTTTCATACCTTTGGTCTATAGGGCATAGAGTGTTAGATCAATGTTTGTGTAGACTAGAACTTTTCAACTGGCGGCCCGGGGGCCGAATGCGGTTCTTCGAAACCTAGGAAATGGCCCGCGGATCATTCCTCTTTTTTTATTAATGATCTTTCTTGGCTGGGGCTGGGGACTCTGGCTCGTGGGGATCCACACTGTCAACATTGTGACCCCAGTGTAAACTGCATTGGTAAGCCTAGCTGCGGACCTATCAGCGATCGTTGTATGATGTGTCAACATCACACCGGCCGCATTTACTTCCCATGACATTATCTGGTAGTCGTTTTAGGCTGGGTGGACCTAGAAGCTAAGGGAGAAATAATAATTACAATTATAGTCTATAGTAAATGCAACAGCTTGTTATAGTAGAGAATACAACCAATCAAGAAATCAGAAATCGTCTCCACAATCCACAATGGAGGTTGACTGTAGTTAGCGTCTTTTGGATATTTTCTCCACGTCATGCTGGTGGGGTGGGAAAGGAGCAGGCAGATAGAGTGGCCGGTTCTGCACCGCTTGGTGGTGAATTGATGTTTGACAAGCTAAAAGTTGTGAAGGTCCTCTGAGAGAGCGGGAACAGTGCCGAGGCACAGACAGATCATTACAGTTTGAGGAGAATGGCACTGCAAGGAGTTGCCAGGGGATGTGGCCGGCGCTCAACACTCAGGGTAGGGCGAGACGGATGTCATTCCAGACAGTTACTGGTACTATCAGAATTAGAACTCATCGCTCCTGCTGAAGATGGAGACAGGGCGCTTATGGGAGTGTCCCGAAGGCTGTCGCTTCTTAATTCAACATTCAACACTGTTTAAAAAAATCTTTCAAACTACCCCGTTTCATTTTGGTTCTAGATTCTCTCAGTAGTCGTTTGTGACAAGAATAGTTTGCTCGTTCATAAACAAATTTGCTCCTGATCTGCCTAGAATTCCAAACATAGAAACCACATACATTTCTGCAACAATATATAGGGACAATACAAATAAACACTAAGCAATTAGGTTCCACTGTCAAATGTGTTTGGTTACCTTGAAGAATGCGATAATGTTATTGACACCAATTCTGTAGCCAAGCAACATGGCCACGTTGCGGCAGTCGTCTGGTTCGATTCCCATCATCAAGGCCACTGGGTAGAGGATGTAGGAGGAGATCAGCTGAAAATAAATGTTGCTCTGTTGATATGACTGTCCATTGTAATACTACCCGCTGCTCTGTTGATTAGACTGTGCATTGTACATACTACACGCTGCTCTGTTGATAAGACTGTCTATTGTACATACTACACGCTGCTCTGTTGATTAGACTGTCTATTGTACATACTACACGCTGCTCTCTTGGGTAGATTGTCTATTGTACATACTACATGCTCCTCTTTTGAGTAGATTGTCTATTGTACATACTACACGCTGATCTGTTGAGTAGTTTGTCTATTGTACACACTATACTCTACTCTGTTGAGTATATTTTCTATTGTTCATAAAACACGCTACTCTGTTGAGTAGATTGTCCATTGTACATACTACACGTTGATCTGTTGATTAGACTGTCTATTGTACATACTACACGCTGATCTGTTGATTAGACTGTCTATTGTACATACTACAAGCTGCTCTGTTGATTAGACTGTCTATTGTACATACTACAAGCTGTTCTGTTGATTAGATTGTCTATTGTACATACTACAAGCTGCTCTGTTGATTAGATTGTCTATTGTACATACTACACGCTGATCTGTTGATTAGACTGTCTATTGTACATACTACAAGCTGCTCTGTTGATTAGACTGTCTATTGTACATACTACAAGCTGCTCTGTTGATTAGATTGTCTATTGTACATACTACAAGCTGCTCTGTTGATTAGACTGTCTATTGTACATACTACAAGCTGCTCTGTTGATTAGACTGTCTATTGTACATACTACACGCTGCTCTGTTGATTAGACTGTCTATTGTACATACTACACGCTGCTCTGTTGGTTAGACTGTCTATTGTACATACTACACGCTGCTCTGTTGATTAGACTGTCTATTGTATATACTACACGCTGATCTGTTGATTAGATTGTCTATTGTACATACTACACGCTGATCTGTTGATTAGACTGTCTATTGTACATACTACACGCTGATCTGTTGATTAGACTGTCTATTGTACATACTACACGCTGATCTGTTGATTAGATTGTCTATTGTACATACTACAAGCTGCTCTGTTGATTAGACTGTCTATTGTACATACTACATGCTGCTCTGTTGAGTAGACTGTCTATTGTACACACTACACGCTGCTCTGTTGAGTAGATTGTCTATTGTACACACTACAAGCTGCTCTGTTGAGTAGATTGTCTATTGTACACACTACATGCTGCTCTGTTGAGAAGACTGTCTATTGTACACACTACACGCTGCTCTGTTGAGTAGACTGTCTATTGTACACACTACAAGCTGCTCTGTTGAGTAGATTGTCTATTGTACACACTACATGCTGCTCTGTTGATTAGACTGTCTATTGTACACACTACATGCTGCTCTGTTGAGTAGATTGTCTATTGTACATACTACACGCTGCTCTGTTGATTAGACTGTCTATTGTACATACTACACGCTGCTCTGTTGATTAGACTGTCTATTGTACATACTACAAGCTGCTCTGTTGATTAGACCTCCAGTGTACATACTACATGCTGCTCTGTTGATTAGACTGTCTATTGTACATACTACATGCTGCTCTGTTGAGTAGACTGTCTATTGTACATACTACACGCTGCTCTGTTGATTAGATTGTCTATTGTACATACTACATGCTGCTCTGTTGAGTAGATTGTCTATTGTACATACTACACGCTGCTCTGTTGAGTAGATTGTCTATTGTACATACTACACGCTGCTCTGTTGATTAGATTGTCTATTGTACATACTACATGTTGCTCTGTTGAGTAGATTGTCTATTGTACATACTACATGCTGCTCTGTTGAGTAGATTGTCTATTGTAATTACTACATGCTGCTCTGTTGATTAGATTGTCTATTGTACATACTACATGCTGCTCTGTTGAGTAGATTGTCTATTGTACATACTACATGCTGCTCTGTTGATTAGATTGTCTATTGTACATACTACATGCTGCTCTGTTGAGTAGATTGTCTATTGTACATACTACACGCTGCTCTGTTGAGTAGATTGTCTATTGTACATACTACACGCTGCTCTGTTGATTAGATTGTCTATTGTACATACTACATGCTGCTCTGTTGAGTAGATTGTCTATTGTACATACTACATGCTGCTCTGTTGAGTAGATTGTCTATTGTACATACTACACGCTGCTCTGTTGAGTAGATTGTCTATTGTACATACTACACGCTGCTCTGTTGATTAGACTGTCTATTGTACATACTACAAGCTGCTCTGTTGATTAGACCTCCAGTGTACATACTACATGCTGCTCTGTTGATTAGACTGTCTATTGTACATACTACATGCTGCTCTGTTGATTAGACTGTCTATTGTACATACTACACGCTGCTCTGTTGATTAGATTGTCTATTGTACACACTACATGCTGCTCTGTTGAGTAGATTGTCTATTGTACACACTACATGCTGCTCTGTTGAGTAGATTGTCTATTGTACATACTACATGCTGCTCTGTTGAGTAGATTGTCTATTGTACATAATACACGCTGCTCTGTTGAGTAGATTGTCTATTGTACATACTACACGCTGCTCTGTTGATTAGATTGTCTATTGTACATACTACATGCTGCTCTGTTGAGTAGACTGTCTATTGTACATACTACATGCTGCTCTGTTGAGTAGATTGTCTATTGTACATACTACACGCTGCTCTGTTGAGTAGACCTCCAGTGTACATACTACACGCTGCTCTGTTGAGTAGATTGTCTATTGTACACACTACACGCTGCTCTGTTGATTAGATTGTCTATTCTACAAACTACAAGCTGCTCTGTTGATTAGACCTCCAGTGTACATACTACACGCTGCTCTGTTGAGTAGATTGTCTATTGTACATACTACACGCTGCTCTGTTGAGTAGATTGTCTATTGTACATACTACACGCTGCTCTGTTGATTAGACTGTCCAGTGTACATACTACAAGCTGCTCTGTTGATTAGACCTCCAGTGTACATACTACACGCTGGTCTGTTGAGTAGATTGTCTATTGTACATACTACACGCTGCTCTGTTGAGTAGATTGTCTATTGTACATACTACACGCTGGTCTGTTGAGTAGATTGTCTATTGTACATACTACATGCTGCTCTGTTGAGTAGATTGTCTATTGTACATACTACACGCTGATCTGTTGAGTAGACTGTCTATTGTACATACTACACGCTGCTCTGTTGAGTAGATTGTCTATTGTACACACTACACGCTGCTCTGTTGATTAGATTGTCTATTGTACACACTACACGCTGCTCTGTTGATTAGATTGTCTATTGTACAAACTACAAGCTGCTCTGTTGATTAGACCTCCAGTGTACATACTACATGTTGCTCTGTTGAGTAGACTGTCTATTGTACACACTACATGCTGCTCTGTTGATTAGATTGTCTATTCTACAAACTACAAGCTGCTCTGTTGATTAGACCTCCAGTGTACATACTACACGCTGCTCTGTTGAGTAGATTGTCTATTGTACACACTACACGCTGCTCTGTTGATTAGATTGTCTATTCTACAAACTACAAGCTGCTCTGTTGATTAGACCTCCAGTGTACATACTACACGCTGCTCTGTTGAGTAGATTGTCTATTGTACATACTACACGCTGCTCTGTTGAGTAGATTGTCTATTGTACATACTACACGCTGCTCTGTTGAGTAGATTGTCTATTGTACATACTACACGCTGCTCTGTTGAGTAGATTGTCTATTGTACACACTACACGCTGCTCTGTTGATTAGACCTCCAGTGTACATACTACATGCTGCTCTGTTGAGTAGATTGTCTATTGTACATACTACATGCTGCTCTGTTGAGTAGATTGTCTATTGTACATACTACACGCTGCTCTGTTGAGTAGATTGTCTATTGTACACACTACACGCTGCTCTGTTGATTAGACCTCCAGTGTACATACTACATGCTGCTCTGTTGAGTAGATTGTCTATTGTACATACTACATGCTGCTCTGTTGAGTAGATTGTCTATTGTACATACTACACGCTGCTCTGTTGAGTAGATTGTCTATTGTACACACTACACGCTGCTCTGTTGATTAGATTGTCTATTGTACAAACTACAAGCTGCTCTGTTGATTAGACCTCCAGTGTACATACTACATGTTGCTCTGTTGAGTAGACTGTCTATTGTACACACTACATGCTGCTCTGTTGAGTAGACCTCCAGTGTACATACTACACGCTGCTCTGTTGAGTAGATTGTCTATTGTACACACTACACGCTGCTCTGTTTATTAGATTGTCTATTGTACAAACTACAAGCTGCTCTGTTGATTAGACCTCCAGTGTACATACTACATGCTGCTCTGTTGAGTAGACCTCCAGTGTACATACTACATGTTGCTCTGTTGAGTAGACTGTCCAGTGTACATACTACAAGCTGCTCTGTTGAGTAGACTGACCATTGTACACACTACAAGCTGCTCTGTTGAGTAGACCTCCAGTGTACATACTACATGTTGCTCTGTTGAGTAGACTGTCCAGTGTAAATACTACAAGCTGCTCTGTTGAGTAGACTGTCCATTGTACACACTACAAGCTGCTCTGTTGAGTAGACCTCCAGTGTACATACTACATGTTGCTCTGTTGAGTAGACTGTCCATTGTACACACTACAAGCTGCTCTGTTGAGTAGACCTCCAGTGTACATACTACAAGCTGCTCTGTTGAGTAGACTGTCCATTGTACTACTACAAGCTGCTCTGTTGAGTAGACTGTCCATTATTCATAAAACACGCTACTCTGTTAAGTAGATTGTCTATTGTACATACTACAAGCTGCTCTGTTTAATAGACTGTCAAATAAGTAAACGACCTTCGTAAGTATTGGGTATATAGGGCTAGATCTATATTTTACAGACCAATCGGCACTCGGTTGGTGATGTAGTCAACATCATGCCGCCCTCCTTTACTTCCCCTGATTTTACTTGTCCCATTTCAAAGCTGGGTCGACCTGGGAACCAAGGTCATTTTTTAACAACAAAACAAAAAAGTCCGGCTCTGCCAGGGCCTGAACCCAGGACCTTAAATCCGCAGGTGAGCCTGTAGCTGCTACACCACGACGGTTCCCTGAATCAACTGTCCTGGGTAAATACAAGTTGCTGCGTTTTGTTGTGTTTTCTTGATCAGTCCATCTGTTCTTCAATATGTGGCCCGGTTCAGATGTCTGTCCAGACATTGTATCGAGTTGTCTATGTAAGTATCTGTCCCTCCGCCCGTCTTCCTCTCTGGAAACCTATTGTTCTATTTGGCTGTATAATCTATTTCGCCTTAATTGTTTCACTTGCCTCAGAAAAGTGACTTGAGAAAGATAAGCAGAGAGACAAACAGACAGAACAACTGAGAAAACTAGAGAGAAAAAAAAAGAAAAATAGATGCAGAGACAGACACAGAGATGTGGAGAGATAGAGAGAGACAGAGAAAGAAAGAGAGCGAGGGAAAAAGAGGTGAAGGGAGAGAGAGATCCCTTCTCCCATTCTAACTCCATCATCATCATACCTCGATGCTGAAATGGTCAATGCCCACTCTGTCGCCGAACCAAGTCAAAGTCTTGTTGATCCAGGCGATGTAGGAGAAGAAGGCGAAGGCCACGGTGGCCACATTGCCCACCAGCGACAACATCGAAGTGGCGCCAGTCTGGGCCGCGTCCAGCACGTTGGCGTACTTGCTACAGATGTCATACAACTCTTGGTTTAATCACGACCATGATGATAGTGGTGATAATGATGATGGTGAAGATTCTGATGATGATGGTGATGATGATGATGGTGATGATCCTAATGATGACGATGATGATGGTGGTGATAATAATGATGATGATGATGATGGTGATGATGATCCTGATGATGATGGTGATGATGATGATGATGATGAGACAAGGTCCTAGTGGCGTAGGGCTCAAGTCGTTTGTCTGGCGCTCTTCAAATCGTGAGTTAGTTTCACCATTGCGTCGTTTGGTTCACGTGTACAATTTGAACGGAGATGCATGAGATCGTTACGAGAGCTAAGCATGTCGTGCTTTGTGTGAGTCTCTCGGCAGGAGACAAGGCATTCTCTGAACGAAGACCTGGCTATATGGAATAAAACCCAGTATATTGAAGTCGAACCTCTCACCTTTAACCTTTAACGTAACTGATGACGGTGAAGATGATGAAGACATTGATTGCCTTTTAAAAAGCCTCCCATTATAAGATCTATAAAAGCCTACATCTCTATAAGCCCAGCCAGCCTCCAGTGTAGGCTGGTTTCCCGTTCAACAAACTCTAATCCGACACTGAACTTAGATGCTGAGACTGGATAGAAAGCATGTATACATTCTTTATTCCCTTAATTTCAAACCATCTGATGAGACTCGGCCGATCAAACCATCGAAACTCAGTCGTACAAACCATCGAGATTCGGTCGTACAGATCATCAAGATTCGGCCGTACAGCTCATCAAGATTCGGCCGTACAGATCATCAAGATTCGGCCGTACAGCTCATCAAGATTCGGTTGTACAGATCATCAGGATTCGGCCGTACAGCTCATCAAGATTCGGTTGTACAGATCATCAAGATTCGGTTTAACAACCCATCGAAACTTACAGTCAAACAAATCATCGATCACAGAGATCGACCACACTTGGTCGAAAAAATCACAGAGACTGTGTCATACAATCATCGAGACTCGTTCAAACAGATCATCGAAGCTACGAGAAGAACGAAACAACATTTTCCTTCAGTTACTACCTCACCACCGCAATGGATAGGGAAAGGACAAAATCATTCTAGTCGACATATTACCTTTTCTCTTTATCAGAGGGGTGTCTTACCTTTCCTCATCTTCAGGGAGCTGTCTAACCTTTCCTCATCTTCAGGGAGCTGTCTTACCTTTCTTCATCCTCAGGGGGGTGTCTTAACTTTTCTCATTTTCATGTGGGTGTCTTACCTTTCCTCGGCATCAGGGAGCTGTCTAACCTTTCCTCATCTTCAGGGAGCTGTCTTACCTTTCTTCATCCTCAGGGGGGTGTCTTAACTTTTCTCATTTTCATGTGGGTGTCTTACCTTTCCTCGGCATCAGGGAGGTGTCTTACATTTCCTCATCCTCAGGGAGGTGTCTTACATTTCCTCATCCTCAGGGAGGTGTCTTACATTTCCTCATCCTCAGGGAGGTGTCTTACATTTCCTCATCCTCAGGGAGGTGTCTTACATTTCCTCATCCTCAGGGAGGTGTCTTACATTTCCTCATCCTCAGGGAGGTGTCTTACATTTCCTCATCCTCAGGGAGGTGTCTTACATTTCCTCATCCTCAGGGAGGTGTCTTACCTTTTCTCTTCCTCGTGACGGTTTGTTACCATTATTCATTCTCAGGTGTTTGGGTATCTCACCTTTTTTCGTCTTCTGCCAGGTCTAAGTTGTCCATGATCTTATGTCCAGCCTTGTAATGTGTCTCTGGCACCATGAGTTTGCAGACGGCAAATGTGGCGGGAGCAGAAACGAGCATGGCGGGAATAAGGTACTCCAGGGAAACCTGCGGAAGAGTTCGGTAAACACACTGGCTGCGGAATAGTTCGGTAAACACACTGGCAAGTTTGTATAATGCCAAGAAGTTTCAGAAGCATTCAAGATAACAAGAGAAACAAATCACTGTGTGGTTAGTTGCCTGTTTGGTCTGTGTGTCGATTGTTTGGTCGGTTAGTCGTTAGGTGTGGTCACTTGTTTGAACTGTTAGTTGTTCCGTTCATTGTTTGTGCGGTCGGTCAGTTGTTTGGTTGTTTTGTTTGTTGCTTGTTTGGTTTGTTGGCTGTTTGGTCTGTTGGTTGATTGGATTGTTGGTTATTTGATCTATTAGTTATTTGGTCCATCTGCTAGGTGGTTGTTTGGTTGGTCGGTCGATCAGTTGGCTGTCTCTCCCCAACAAATAAATTATTGTTATTTTATTTTTATTTTTGACGAGGTAGCTAGACGTGGGATTCTCACAAATTGGGTTAAGAATTGGATAAGCTCGCCGGCAAAAGGAGTGTTAGTCAACTGGTCGAAACATTGTCCAAAGTGAGGATATTTTGATGATCATAATGTGATGCTTCCCAGTGAAGTTTTTGCTACTTAGTGAATTTTCGGCGCTTAAGCGTTTTAATTTTGCAGCAGACATGTGGAAGGAAAACAGCGATAAAAATGGTGTGTGGTGAATATGCAAGACATGATTTAAAATGAGTTACCCCGAGCGAGGAGAGAATGGCCAGGTAGGCTCCTCCCAGTGAGGCGAAAACTGAAGTTATAATGAGGAACAGTTGTGACTTAGATACGTATGGCAAGTATGGCCTCAGCGTCAGGATCGCCGTGATCTGGAAGAAGACAAGTTCAACGATATGTTGTAAATATGACACGACTATCTGAAAGTATAAATGTTTAAAAATTACATAACTGTCTGCAAGTCTAATATGTTAAAATATTAAATGACTATCCGCAAGTCTACCTGTAAAAATATTAAATGACTATAGGCAAGTCTACTTGTTAAAATATTACATGACTGTCTGCTAGTCTAATGTTAAAATTTTCATGACTATCTACAAGTCAGATCGTAAAAATATGACATGACTATCTGGAAGTCTAACGGATAAAATATGACATGACTATCTGGAAGTCTAACGGATAAAATATGACAAGACTATCTGGAAGTCTAACGGATAAAATATGACATGACTATCTGGAAGTCTAACGGATAAAATATGACATGACTATCTGGAAGTCTAACGGATAAAATATGACATGACTATCTGGAAGTCAAACAGGTTAAATATGACACGACTATCTGTACGTTTAACTGTTAACGTACCGAACACATAAATGGACAAGGGATTGTTTTCGGGTTTTGGCTTAGCCCTACTTTCTACAAATGTGCCCCTGTACCTACAATAAATCACATGAGCAAATCCTAAATTGTTGCCTTACAGAGGACATTACGATGAGATGCACATCCGATGTGTCCAGTCTTCACTACAGAAGTGGCGCCTATTTCTTGAAAGAACGTTGTAACTAATTGCATCTTTATTTAGTCACTTTTTACATGTTTGGTAATATTTTTTGCTCCCCATATTTCTCGCAGTAGTTCGCGGACACCGGGCACTTCTACGACACTGCTGCAGTAATTAAAGTTTTTAATGGGCTCAAACTCGCCAAGATAATTTAAAGTCCAACACAGTTGTATTTAACATTTTTAAATGTATGACCCTGGTCATCCACTTCTTTTTCTAGCTAGTATTTGTTTCCGGTGATCACACGCGTACCAGCGATTTGACTAGCCAGAAATGTGGATTTCTCTCGAAGATTCTTTAGGTAAGTGATTTTGTGTGTGTTCTTGTTTGTTTGAGGTAAATTCATGTGACATTCTGATGACGACTTTGTTGTCGTAATGTTCAGTTGTGGTTGTGTTTATGATAATGTAAATCTGACCGGTTCGACTTTTCACTTGGTTTGGTATCTTTTCATGCAGAACAAACATTGTGCGGCTAAAGATGTTGATTTTAGTATCTTTTCAGGCAGGACAAACATTGTGCGGCTAAAGATGTTGACTGGCAGAAGTCATGAACCCACCCCTTCCAAGAAGATACCGGCAGCCACGCTCATGCTCTCAATGGGTGACGTGTCCAGGACAAAGCTGAGGAAAGTTCCGATGACCTTGACGAGGAACTGCATGGCTCCCAGATAGTACAGGATGGTCAAGGTCGCGTTGGTCAGAAATACAATTGGCAGGGCCTAGGAAGAACAAATCATTTGTAAAATGTGTTAGTTGGCGTACTTTACAGGACGTTGCAGAACCAACCCCAGTATTTTCGGCTGTTGTGGTTTTTCTAAGAGAAAAGTTAGTTAAGTAATTTGCCATTGCCTACTAAACAGTCGGTTCTTAATAGCACTGCCAAACCAAACGTAAAGCGGTCTGTGTAAAATTAGCAACGTTAAAAAATTGAGAGTAAGCATCTTCACTTTAGCAACATACGGATATGGGTCGTTGATTATCTCCCAGTCTGTAAGGAATAACAGGTGGACATTCTTCTTATTCTTCTTCTTCTTCTTTTGTCATTCTGATGATGGGGTAGCAGAGAGGAGTTAGATGTAGTTTTCTGTCTTTTGCTTGTCACCTAGCTTGTGTTAATGTTACAATGAGTTTCTGTAGTGTCTCCTTTACTCTATCCATCTCTTTTTTGATTGGTCTCTAGTACGTAGTTGTACCCCACCAGGACATCCCACAAGCGATAAACACCCGGTGACACAAAGTGCCAGCATGCGGATGAGGATCACTCGTGGAGAGGTCCCAGAAACCCCCTTCAGCCATTATGGCCATACCTATCACTTAGACCATATCTTTACCCCGGCTATATTTAGGGCCCCCGGCAGAAGCCAGGGTGTGGCTGCAAATAACACAAAAATTGCATCCCACATGGGGACGACAAATTCGTTGGTCTCTAGACTTGTAGACTGTTGATATCATGTAATACCTGCTGGCGGCTGATTGTGTAAACACATTTCATGCATTAAAAGTATCTAAAATTATGAAACCTAATAAGGTCCACTTATTATTGTTACTGTTTACTATTTATTACAAATACGTCACTCAATTTATGTCCAGCCTAGCATGCAAGATTTGTTTACAGTATTAACATAGTGGGGAAATAACTCTCACAGCATGCTTACGCCACTAATTCATAAACTTTAATGTGTGAAAGCTACCAGTTATGAATACTGCTATGCTAGTTGCGCATGCATACTCTTAACAGCGAAGCGACAAGAACAAATGTCATATGATACCCTCTCTAGTTTAATCGTCCCATTCTATCGCTTAGTTTTACATAAACCGCTTGCGAATTGATCACGCCTCGCCATTGGTATGTAACGGAGACGAAGCTACAAAATTCTCAAAGTTGTTGGCTTGATGAATGCAAGGTTCGTAGGAGGAAATCAAAGCACCGGTTATACGGTACGTAGATGTGCATCATTGGATTAATTAAAACTTAAGGTTACAAATCGACACACCTAATTAAAGAAGTTAACATTTAAAAGAGACAGTGTTGATGATACAACCTCACAAACTGGCACCCATCAGATCCTACGTTATGCTGACGTGCTCTTGATTGAGAAAAAGTTACAAGTCGAAACACAAGGTGCAGCCAGTTAAGAAGAGAATTGATTTCAGAAAGGGTAGAGCTTTTGTAGAGGCACATAGACAGACAGACAGACGAGGGACATCGCTCAAACGGAGCGGATGTCAACTAAAACACCCAGGAAGCTTGGGAACTTATAATGTCAGGCAGAAGATAACTAGAAAACGTCATTAAAGAACGAACTGTATCTGAAAACTTAAAACTAGAAGAGAGAACGCTATAGATGGGGCTGCATACCTGAATCATCTTAGAACCAGCAGTTGAGATTTGCATGCGTAGTGTGAATATTTAGTTAGAGAAGTTTTTGAAAGTGAGAACACTATCTTTATTCAGGTGCATTGAAACTACGGTTGTGAGTCTTGGAGTCTCACTCGGTCATTGAGGAAAAAGATTGGAGCTTTAAAATTGAAATGTGAAAGAAGAATTCTTAGAATACCATGGATTAGGAAGAGGAAAAACATCGACATCCTGAACGGGTTGAACATCAAGGAGAACTGGCTCATAAACAACATGCTGTCTCTAAAGTTGAAGTATTTTGGCCACATCAAACGTTATGGTGGCTTGGAAACGATGGTGATGGAGGGTACAGTTTGTGGAAGGCGAGGCAGGGGTCGACCACCGCGAAGATGGATACAGGACATTGAGGATGCATTGGCACTGAAAGCACATGGGGCTGGCTGGGAAAATGGATATTTTCAGGTGTGAAAAGAGCGACGTTCTGTAAAGGACTTTCTGATTGATGATGATGATTGAAACTAGCAATGTTTGAGCTAATGTTGATTTCCACAATAAACTATCTGATGTTACACACTTGTTAAAATGACGATTCGTAGACACTTGTTTATTTGGTAATTAAATATACGATTACGCCCAGCTTAAGAAGCCTCTCATCAATCTGTGTGCCTTATAGGACATGTTTGAAACTTGACTGCATGAAAAACGAATACTTCGTTACAGGTCATCATCATCATCACCATCATCAAGTGCCTTGCCAGCTGGCGTGGGCGTGAATGTATCTCCACAGATCTCGGTCTTTGGTGTCCTTGATCCATTCCACTGATGATATTCCTCCATGCCCCTGTCTTAAGCCACCATCATTTCTCTTGGTCTGCCTCAGTCTTTTCTACCAGTGATCTTTCCAGGCTTCACGATAATTTCCAGTGCTCCTTTTCACATCACATGACTAAAAAACTGTGTCTCCTTCTCATTGTTGTGTATAATGTTATATTTGTATTAGCCATTTCCAGGCAATCATCGTGTTAAAGGCACTCGCAACATTTTTCTCAAGAACCACGTCTTATTTGCCTCCAAATACTTCCTCATTTGTTTGCTCACATTACAAGATTTGTTACCGTACAACAGAACAGGCTCAGTGTAATATGCCAGTACTCGTTTTCTGATGTTTAATGAGAGTGATTTATTACATAAGATGCTCCTCATCTGCTGAACAGCTGCATTTGCCCGGCTGATTCTGCTCTTAATTTCTGTCACACATCGTAAATCTAATGTTACGAATTCCCCTAAATACTTGCATTTATTGATTTGATTAAGCACTTTTCCACTCTTTTGCTATGTCAAATTTTGGGCTTATTTTCTTCTTTGATAGAACCATTGTTTCTGTTTTACTTCACATTCAAGGAAAGTCCCTTTTTTTGTTTTGTACTCTCTAGTACCAAATGTCTAACAGTTGTTGTAGTTCTTCTGCGTCTTCAGCTAGTAATACTGAATCATCTGCATAACGTCTCAATACATAGACGATAACAAGAGACGTGCGAGAACAACACGGTTACGTCCTGTTGGGAGTTGCAGGGGATGATCCAATATATGACGGTCCGGCGCGACTTGGCTGAGGGCGAATGACCCGCTTCAGTTTATCTGGGTAGAGGAATATTTTTACATGTCAACTAACCCCAAAAATCATGTAGTGATCCCTGTAGGATTCACCAAAGAGCAGCTTTGAACCTTCGGCAGAGTTGGCGAAGAACTCGTCCAGTCTTGCCTGAGTCCACATGATGGCGTCCTTGCCAAACTCCCACTTCAGGACGAAAAGTGCCGCCAGAAACTGCATCTCGAAGCTCCAGTAGATGGTGTGCCAGTTGATCTGGAAATTTTACAGTCAACAGTACATTCATACACTTGTAACTGCAACATGTTACAATCAACAGTACATTCATACAGTCAACAGTACATTTATACACTTGTAACGGCAACATGTTACAATCAACAGTACATTCATACACCAGTAACGGCAACATGTTACAGTCAACAGTATATTTATACACTTGTAACGGCAACATTTTACAGTCAACAGTACATTCATACACTAGTAACGGCAACATGTTACAGTCAACAGTACATTTATACACTTGTAACGGCAACATGTTACAATCAACAGTACATTCATACACTAGTAACGGCAACATGTTACAGTCAACAGTACATTCATACACTAGTAACGGCAACATGTAACAGTAACTACAAAGGAAATTGTAACAATAATCTTCAGTAAGATGCAACAATTATTGACAGCTAGAAAAACAAACAAAACATTAAAAATGAGAACCATCAAATGTTATGTACACTCAATCCTGCTATATGGTGTGGAAACTTGGACAATAAACAAGGAACTAGAAAATCGAATTGAGTCTCCGGAAGTACGAATATACATAAGGGTAGGTCATATTTCATGGAAAGAAAAACAGTCAATTGCAGAGGTTATGGAAAGACTGCGGGAAAAAAAGAGAATTACTTAAAGAAAGAAAAAACACGAGATACTTGAAATATTTTGGCCACATAACAAGATATTGCAATGTTTTTAAAAACCTTACTTCAGGCAAAGGTTGATGGCATCGGTGCAAGAAGTATGCAACGAAACAAGTGGGAGCACAATATCAACAAAGGGACAAAGTTTGAGTGAGTGTGGAGCCAGGACAAGAGACGGAGCGTGTTGGAGATCCACTGCAGCCTACCTTTACTGCGGAGAGACGGCACCTTGATTGATTGAACAGT